TGTGTATGTACGTGTGTGTGTGTGTGTGTATGTGTGTGTTTGTTTGTGTGTGTTTGCGCGCGTGCGTTCGCAAGTGTGTGTGTGTGTGTGTGTGTGTGTTTGTTTGTGTGTGTTTGCGCGCGTGCGTTCGTTTGTGTGTGTGTGTGTGTGTTTGTTTGTGTGTATTTGCGCGCGTGCGTTCGTGTGTGAGTGTGTATGTGTGTGTGTGTGTGTTTGTTTGTGTGTGTTTGCACGAGTGCGTTCGTTTGCGTGTGTGTGTGTGTGTGTGTGTGGGTGAGTGTGTGTGTGTGTATGTGTGTGTGTGTGTGTATGTGTGTGTGTGTGTTTGTTTGTGTGTGTTTGCGCGCGTGCGTTCGTTTGTGTGTGTTTGTGTGTGTGTGTGTGTGTGAGTGTGTGTTTTGTTTTTCTCATGCCTGCATTTTGCTTGTCGTTGGAGCATTATTGCATGTTTTAATGTGTACGTGAGTAGTAGTTGGACATTGAACTAACAACGAGCCTCACATTTTTAACGCTTGTGGATGACCATGTGTTTCGCAGGCTATGGAGAGTGGTAGCAACACGCTTGCAGCCACCAGCTTCAGCGTAAGGTGGAAAGAAAGCATTGCGGACGGGTTTGACCAGTGGAAAGCGCATGCGTTGGCCGCGCCAGGTGACTTAACCAAGCTTGCAGGACTGTTGGAAGGCAAAGTCGAAGAAGGCGAGGTACCGAATAGTACCTCACGTGTGAAGAACGGCTTGGCTATCCCGGGTGACGAGGATTTTACACGGTACTCCAGTCAGACACACTATGTGCGAGCGTGCGCGTCTTTTGGCGACAAACCATGGTTCAGCGACGTAGCCGTGCTTTTTGAAGAGGAGGTGGAGGTTGCAGGAGGTGAGAATACAAGGCGTAAAGTGATATGGTATGCGAGACTGCTGCTGCTATTTACAATCGACGTGTACACGACCGAGACGAAGGCGTTTTCCAAGCGCGCGTACGCATTTGTACGCTATTACAGAGGCACTGGTGCGGTGCATGCATAAAAATGCCCGGTGTATGCTTGGGAGTCAGGTGAGGACGAGTACCAACTGCTTGAACTTGATAGCATTCTGCGCGTAGCTCATATGGTGAAGGTTAGCGAGGGTGTCTTTGTGATGAACAAGTTCAAGTTTTATTGATATTCAATGAGCATCACCCATTCACAATTATACTATCGAGTTTTTAGGCAGCCCCTATTCAAAAATAACAGCTTTACATCATGGTTTCGTAAAAGCTCAATGTTTTACACTGTCGTGTCTTTTTTTGTGCTTGAAACAGCACAAATGGTGACAATTACTGCAAAATCGAGAAAACAGACAACAGACTTGAGGCACGAATGGATGTGTCGGATCGTGTTTCTTGTGCGTTTAGATGACGTCTGCAAAATCGAACGGCAAACGCGTTTACGTAAAAAACGGTGTTTCAAATGTACAATTCCGACCACTCTTTCATTGTCCTTGTCTCGATTGGCAGAGTTACACGTCACCCACCATTCTTGTTGGCGCTGGGGAATCATTAGAATTTCGCTTGCTGGCATTCTGCCGCGCAACTAGGTAGGTTTCTTGCCTCGCTGGACTAGTGTACAGTTGCCCGGCAGCTGTTCTGTCTGCACGAATCCAGATTTTCCATTGTCATGCTCGATGCACCGTTGTGCTATGGCGGCGTGGTTGTGAATTTGTTCTTTGGTTTGATTTATTACATATTTCTCTCAGTCCGAAAACCTTTTGGTCCGCTTTCTAGTACGCACCAGACGACGTGTGTGACGTGTATTTGCGACACTGTTTAGCCGAGTGTTTTGTTTTCGACACACACCTGCGAACACTTAACACGTCGAAGGATAACTCTGTGGCAACAACAGTGTTTCCCTGTCTAAAAGTGACGCCACAGCGAAACGGGAGTACACTCCTAGAGTTTTGGACGTGGGAAACGTTGAGTGTATCCGGACTTGAACTAACGTTCCCTCGTGACAGGCATCAACACTTCACCCGTCCGCTGTCCACATTCGTGCTGCAGAACATGCGCCCGCCTCGCTGACATGCTGCCAGCTTCGCTGGCATGCTGTCAGCTTCGAGAACTTCCGTGCCTCGCTCGCCACGCATGCTGCTCCACTTTGCTTGTTGCACCGTCCTGCTCGCTGAACTGTCCTTGTTTAGCGGTCTTGTTGTCGCGTTGTAAAATTCGATGTTTTTGTTTCATACCCTGCCAGATACGGTACACTGTTAGCGCTGGGTGTATTGTTTTGGAGCATTCGAAAGACTAGTTGGTTTTCAAACAGACCATAAAGAGATTGGTCGAAATTAAAATTTGCCTGTACTCCCTATAGATCTAAACAAGCCGAAAAGCTGGTACCAATACCAGGTACCTCCGTCAAAAGTTTAAGCTAAGCGAAAATAGGAACTGTTCTTGCAAAGCGTGGGAGTGGTATACTTAGCTTTTTTAATAGCTCAAGGGTCATCTAGCTGACAAGACAAACCAAACAAACGTTTCCCTTGTGTTTTGGTTCCAAGAAGCTTGCGTCCCAGCCGAGCTTCTCATCCATCCTCCTCATCTAGCTATTTCTTGTCCCGATTTTCAGCTTCATGCTCTAAGCCTGTGAGTGGGCGCTTCTGCAACCATGGCGGTTGGCGTACCAGCGGAAATCATGGAGCTGCAGCGCAAGCGATCTCGTACATCCAACAGGAGGCTCGAAGGGTATGAGCTCGGTAGCCCATCATCTGTCCCTCGTAGAAATTCCATCCCGGCCCATCAGGTGGGTAACGCCAGCAATCTGCCTCAGGAGCCGCCACCTCTGCAAGACCTCGGGGCCCTTGCTGCCGAACACACCGAGGTCGAACACACCGCGGACAACGATGCATCTCCTTACAACGGTTCGAACGCCACGGCACCGCTTGCTCAACGTGGCGCAGCAACAAATGTTGTCGCATCTCCTCGCACTGGCGGTATGTTTGTATATGTTATTTTATTGTTCAACCGTTAAATGTGCCATTCGATCGCAGGTTTCATCTTTGTCCCGCTACTTGTTTTTGTTTTATGAACTTTGTTTTCTTTGTTTCTATCACCCTGATGTTTCCAGCCGTGCCCACGTCAGATCGTGACGTGCATCACCCCGAGGCCAACTCGTATAACCATATCGACGTTGCGATACGTGGCGAGCTGAAGGACGTTCGGACTCTGATGCTGCGCATTGAAAACCGCCTTCGTGTAGCCGACGAAATCCAGCAGACCTTGGCTACAACCGTCAAGAACCTGCTTGCGATCGTGCATCAACCGAGTTGGTGCAACGAGAAGACGATGGAAGTAAGTTCGATGTTTTTATGTGTTTGAATATTTCTGTTTCTGTGCAATGTTATAACCAGATGTTGTTCTACTCGCAGGATGCTTGCAAGAAGGCCTGCGACGATCTTCTCAGGGGGTCTGACGTGTCGCAGCGTGTTGTCTACCCTAATGAGGATCAGTTTAAAGCTGTCGTCGTTGTGCACGTTGCGCTGGAGCCAGAGGATTTCGGCAAGTTCAACGACTATTGGAAGAAGGGGGAGTGGGCGAAGAAATGCTTGGAAGTTTGCAACAGTCGCCGAGGGAAGGTTGGGAACAAGTCTCGGCTCGCAACCTTCCCCCTTCTTAAGTACCCTGACGGCAAAGCTGTCAAGGATTCCCTTGAAGATCGGCGAGCTTACGCGCGAGCTTGCGTCTCTGGTAAGAGTCCATTTAATCGAGTTCATTAACGGCGTAAAATCATTCTGGTCTGACACTTGGGGTTGTTTTTCCAGAGGAATTTGGCCTACCATGGCATGCTGTCGACGATAAGCCATTTTGTAGCGAGGCTTTTTTAGCCGCTGCAAGCAAGTGGCAGAAGAAGGAGGGTGGTGTCTTCTCTCTCAGCATTGATCAGCTCTGCTACACCCTGGTTGCTGTGAGTATCCATGCTGATAACTGGAATCTTTGTATTTTTTATCTTGTCTCATCTATGATGCATTTTGTGTTTGGCAGGTGGAGTTTGAGATGCTCTCTCGGGAACGAAGCAGCATGTTCCCAGACTCCGAGTCTAACACCCGCGAAATGACTAAGAGAAAGGCCCAGGTTGAGAACTGGGTCCGTCATAAAAGTGTTCCTTTGGTGAGTGGCTATTATTATTTCGGAGATGTCATTGTTAAGGATTGGATTGTTGTAGAGGATCTGTAGAATTAGCCGAGTGGTCATTAGTGTAGAACTGTAGCGTAGGTGTAGTTGTTTTTAGTAGTCACTGTAGAACTGTAGTAGAGTTGTAGCAGCTGTAGCGTCCCTATTGGATGTAATGTTTTTAAATAACGCTAATTTATTATAGTTTTAATGTTTGTTTGGTATGCTAACCATTATATTCATGATTTGGAATTACGATAATGAATGGTCGATTTGTCATATGAATATCGATTTCCTTTAGTGTTCTTTTTTGAGCAGTGTATTTATCTTGATTATATTCGGTTCCCATTATCACCTTTCCGTTCAGTAACAAATAACTTCGAGCAATTATCAGAAAATTCTTTAAACTTTCGCAGTTTTGTCTTTTGGGTGTAACACGAAATATTGTTACACGTGTGGTTACAGCGCAACTGAACTAGTCTCGCATGTGCGAGGGTGTCGTTTTCGGGTCTGATGGTAACGAACTCGAACTGCTCGCCCCAACTGACATGCGATGCGTGAATATTACACTGCTGTCGCCTCGCAGGTTGGTTTCGGCTAACCCCAAGTTGACAGCAGGTTGGTTCTGTTGCCCAATAATTACCCCCCCGTATTGCAAGCAGAAGCGCGGGACCCACGAAATCGAGCGTCACCCGGAAAGCTTCCAGCTAACTGCTGGAAGCCTCATTTCTTCGTGCGATGTGCGGAGGTTGAGGAGGTAGTTGCGGAGGTAGGACGACGCGCGCAGAGAGAACACGCGGAGGACAGCGGCGACGACGGCGAACCGCAAAGTACGCGTGAACGGCGGGATGGCCGCCGTGCGGAGATGAACGGGTCAGATGGAGGCGGGACTCGCCGGAGCAAGCGGCTAGGGAAGGGAGGCGTGAACAGCGGCGATCCTTCCGCTTCGCAGCAGCCCGCTGACGTGGTGCAGCGAGAGCGATCCGCGAGCCCCGTTGACCAGGAAACCGACGAGGCCGCGGAAGATGGAATGGAGGCGGCTGACGTGGCGGAGCTGGAAAGGATCTCTCGCGCAAGGCGTCTCAGCAAGGGCAAGGAAAAAGTGGTTGAAAGCAGCGTGGACTACCATGCCGAGGCTGATGCCAGTTACGAATCAGACGAATGCGTTCGGGATTGGCAGGCTGCCGGACCTAGCACCCAGCCTCGCGCTCGAGAGCGCGCCGAGCCTGAAGAAGATGCAGAATTTCCGGTTACCCCGTATGGTATGGGGGAGGATCGGGGCGGACCTGAAGGCACCCCGACACAGGCAACAGTTTCAACCCCTCGCGCCATGCCACGGTACTATCTCTTAGGCGCCATGCCACGGTACTACTTATAAGGCGCCTCAGAAGTGGACTTCTAGTGGCAGATGTCGTCACAGTACTGACGGTGCCTGCTCCTTCCACGACTCTCTTCTTGACCACCTCTTCCCACCTTCCACCCTCCACCCCTCCCCCCCCCTCTCCCTTTCCCCCCCTCTCCCTCTCCCTCCCCCTACCCCCTCCCCCCCCTTCCTCCGCGCGCACCCACCTCTGTCCTCACGTCACATGAATCTCCCCCCTCCTCCTACAAACCTCATGGCTGGTGGAGATTACTTCAGCCCGACAGCCCTCTCCTCACCTTCTCCACACCCCCCACGCCCCTCCCTCCTCACCCTCCACCAATCAGAGGCGAGGACGGGTTCCAGCCTGGCAACATCCTATTGGTGCAGGTGCAGCACTTCATGACGTATGCGTCCATCTCAGCGCGTCCCTCGCCGCGCCTCAACCTCATCGTGGGGCCCAACGGCTCCGGCAAGAGCTCCCTCGTCTGCGCCATCGGCCTGGGGCTGGGCGGTGAACCCAAGGTAACCGCTGCGCCGCCTCTTTCCCCTGTAGACTGAACTGAGCCAGTGATTTCAGGCAGAGACCCTTAGCCTCAACCTTCTCGTGGGGCCCAATTGGCCCGGCAAGAGCTCCCTCTGTGCCATCAAGCTGGGGCTGGGGGGCGAACCCAAGGTGACCAATCAGTGCGCTCGTGTTCTATGTTGAAGTGAACCTGATGCTTCATCCCAGCCCATCAGGTCGGGCAAACGTTCCCTCGTCTACGCCGTCGGGTTGGGGCTCGACAGAAAACCCAAGGTAACCACGCACTGTGCATCATGTTCAGGCGGATAGAACGAGCAAGCACAGTGGGTGGTTACCTTGGGTTTACCCCCAAGCCCCAGGCCTATGGCGCAGGCGAGCGAGCTCTTGCTCGACCCGTTGCCTCCAAAGATCAGGTTCAGGTTGAGATAGAAACATCAAGAGCAATGGTTACCTTGAGTTCTCTCCACCAAGCCCTACCCGCTGTGCGCCCAAGGGGTTGGGCAAGAGCTCAGACTTTCACTTTTTGGAGCAGATGGATGGTGGAACGGATGAAGGAGTTTTCGGTTCGGTACTTTCAGCCTGGCTTGGCTTGCCTTTGAGATTTCTCAGACGTCCCCTGCAAATCTCACCTATTCCCCCAATCCTCTCCCCCCTCCCCATCCCCTGCCCCTTCCCCGCCCCCTCCCCCCCTCCTCCCCCTCCTCTCTCTGCTGGGTGGCAGATGCTGGGGCGGGCGGCGCATTTGGGAGAGTTTGTGCAGCGGGGGGAGCGCAATGCCGAGATCAGCATTGTGCTGCGAGGGGACGTGGTGGGGGAGGAGGTGCACGTCACCCGCCGTATCTCCATTGAGAACCGAACCGACTGGCTGCTCGATGGTATGGCTTTCCAGTCGACTCAAAAAGCATGTCACGTGCAGAATTTCCACTGCGACTCGCACCGACTGGCTTGTCAATGGTGTGGGTGCTGTGTTTTGGAAAGCCTTTGGGGTTGGGTTCTCAGGGGGGATCTGGGGCGTTATTGAACTCTAGATCTGACATGCCATGCCATGACAGGCGTGGCGTGGCATGCCATACGCATGCCTTGGCTTCCCAAGAACTGTACAGCCATCTTTAGTTGGGTTTGCCTCTGTGTAATGCATTCCTCCTCCCCGTATTATCATACACTTCCCCTGCTGGGCAGGGCAAGAGATGCGGGGGGAGCAGGTGCAGGAGTGCATGAAGCACTTCAACATTCAGATCTCCAACCTCACACAGGCAAGTGCAGTGGGGCACACACACACTGTGCGGCGCCTCAAAAGCTATGAGCGCCTCAAGAGTTATGGGCGCCTCAAAAGCGGTTTTCAACCTCACACAGGCAAGTGGGGCACCCAGCAGATGTTTCTCGTTCTTGAGGCGCTTCAACCTCACACAGGAAGCCAAGCACTTGTGGCGGGGGTTTGTGGGCGAGGGATGGAAGGGCGGTAGGGATTGCTCTGGGTGGAGCAATTTCTACCGCTTCAACATTCTCATACCTCCTTTTTGCAAGGCCTCGTTCTCCCCTCTTCCCCAAGTCATGCGTCCTGACTACACACATGCCTCCCATCTGTACTCGTGTCTCCCCAGACTGGTTAACTCCCTCCCTCTCCACCCCCAGTTAATTCTTCCTTTTCTGCTCTTTTGTCACCCTCCTTTCCAACCCCTCGCTTCTCAACAGTGCAGCTGCCTCTGGATCCCCATTCACCAATCTCCCGCACCCCCCGTTACCCATTCCATCCGCCTCTCCCCTTCCACTCAACCCCGCCCCACAGTTCCTCCCCCAGGACTGCGTGTGTGCGTTCGCGGGCATGTCACCGGTGCAGCTGCTAGTGTACCCCCATGGATCAAACCTCATCTCCCTTCGCCATCCCTCCCCTCCCTCACCTGTTCTCGCCCACAGTTCCTCCCCCAGGACCGGGTGAGTGCGTTCGCGGGCATGTCACCCATACAGCTGCTGGAGGAGACGCAGAGGGCAGTGGGCGACCCACAGCTGTCCCAGCAGCACGCCTTCCTCAAAGACCAGCAGGACGCCCTCGCCACCCTGCATGCTGTGAGTGACATGGGGTTGGGGTGGTTATCTTTCCTGCTGTGTGCATGCGGTCAGATGGAGCTACGGTTGTCCTTTTCATTGCACATCGCGTCCTCACACTCGGTTTGTCCCGAATGAGCCCGTTTCAAATCTCTTGAAGAGCGTACGAAGCTACGCCTGTGATTTCAACTGTACGTTTCTGCCGCGTACTTGGGTTCGATCCGATCGAACCCATGCATTCCTGCGCCCATGAGCAGACGTTGGTGTCACACGAGGGGCAGTTGGGGAAGCTGCAGAAAGCGAACGCGCAGGTGGAGGTGGATGTGGAGAAGGTGCAACGCAGGGAGGCCATTCTCAAGGAGGTGAGGGTGTGGGCGTGGAGTGGGATGAGCACAAGGAGGAGGGGTAGGGGTGTGGTGTGGTGCCGTGCACGTGTAGGCTTTGTAGTGACCGCCAAGTGTGATTAGGGATTGAATTGGTTTCATTGGTGTGTGCGACCTCTGATGCACTTTGGTTGCCTGCTCCCCTCTCTCCTCCCTCGACTCTCTGTCCCATCCTCCTCTCACCACAGGTAGCGCTGATGAAGAAGAAGGTGCCATGGCTCAAGTACGAGCAGGTGAAGCGGCGTGTGAGGGAGATGGAGGCAGCAGTGGAGGCGAGGCACAAAGAGAGGGACGAACTGCAGACACAAGTCATGGCCGCCAGAGACCCCCTCGTGTGAGTGCTGAGTGTTAGATGATGTTACGTGGTTACCAGTTATCGGTCGCGAGCTACAGGTTGTTGGTTTGCATTATACTATCCTCCCTGCCAACCACCCCATTCGCCACCACTCCCTGACCTCAATCTCCCTGCCCCCCACATTTTCCCCATCTTTCTTCACTTCCCCTCCTCCCTGCAGAGCGTTGAAGGAGAGGCGTGCGGGGCTTGCATCGCTGGTGGCGAAGATAGGGCGTGCGAACGAGGCGAGGGAGAGGAAGCTGCGGGAACTGGCAGAAGAGAGCGACCAGCTGGTGAGTAGCAATAAGGAATGGCGGGAAGGAGAGTGAGTGACCAGCTGGTGAGGAGGAATAAGGAATGGGGGGAGGTAGATTGAGCGTGAGAGGTGGTGAGAACAACGGGGGGAAGGAGTGAGCACTGAGCATGTGGTGAGGGCAATGGAGGGAGGTTTGAGCAGCTAGTGTGAAGTGAAGGGTGTCAAAGGATAGTATTGATGTGCTTAGGTCGACTTCCCAAACTTGCATACTCAACTCACACCTGCACGCCCTTCCTGGTCTCACAGATAAGGCAGGCGGTTGAGAGGCAGCGGGACGTGCCCGAGGGAAGAGGTGCTGAAGGCAAGAGAAGGCAGCCTATCTTAAAATCGCTTCTCACGCCGTACACTGTTCACTGCACACTTGCTCGCCCTGCGTGCTCCCACAGGGCCACCAGGCGGTGGAGAGGCAGCGGGACGTGGTGAATGCGCGGAGGTTCGAGGCGACCCGCGAGCAGCGGCTGGCCAGGGCGCAGGAGGAGGTGCAGCAGCTGCAGGTTCAGCTCGCCGCCCTACCGGAAGTGGAACCACCCACGGCAGCTGTGGTGCGTGATGGTTAGGGGGCAGAGGGAGCACAAGGCGTGCGTGCGGCGTTATGAAACTGTGGGTAGGGGCAACCTCGGGTAGAGCAGCAGCAGCTGCAGGTTCAGCTCGCCACCCTGCCGGAGGTGAAACCACCCACGGCTGCTGTGGTGCGTGATGGGAAATGGGGAGAGGACCTTGGGTAGAGCAACCCAGCCAGAAGTGGAAGTGGAATCACCCATGGCTTCTGTGGTGCATGATGCGGGAGGCTGGGACGTGGGGCATGAAATCATGGATGAGGGTGATGGATTGAGTGGGAGGGTGCGCGTGTTCTTGGGAAAGCTCGCGCACAGGAAGGTGCAGAGCTGCAGGAACTAGTGCAAGTGCGGGCAGAGCTGCAGGAACTACTGGCAGCTCTGTTCCAGCCCAGCCAGGCAAAGTGAGAGGTGGAACGGTGACGAGGGTATTCGTGAGTGTGAAGCCAATGGTGGAGGTTGGAAGTTGAAACCGTGAGGCCAGCTTGCACATGGCGCATGGCAAATGTCCTGCTTTAGTGCCTGCTTGCTTGCCTGCCACTCCTTCCTCGACGTTCAGTCCAACAACCCCTGCCTTTGTGTGTGTGTGTTTTCTTTTCGGCGTCTCACAACCCGCTCCCTTTTTTCCGTTCCTTTCATGGTCCCTCGTCTTGGCCGGTGGCAGGATTCGCTGGGGAAACGAGGGAGGGAGTTGCGGATGCAGGCGGGGGAGAAGGAGCGCGAGGGGCGGCAGCTGGAGCAGCAGATGAGCGTTCTGAGGGAGCAGATGGGACGCGTGGAGCGACGGTGAGAAGGGGTGATAGGTGGTGAGAGGGGGTGAGAGGGGGTGAGAAGGGGGAGGAGAGTGGAGTGTCAGAGGGGGGGTGTGAGGGTGAGAGGGGGGGAAGTGGGGGAGGGTGAGTGGGGGGGGTGGAGTTGTGCTGCTGAGGAGCAGTTTGGGGGAGGACTGGGTTATTGTTGCTGAGCAAGTTGGAGGCAGTTGGTGAAAAGGGTTCCGATTGTATATGCTGGGCTGGATCTAAGTTTGGCTGCTATGATGCAGACATCCGGTGGTCGTAGCAGGATCGGGAGGGCCTATAGCGTGGGTCCTCCACATTCAGGCTGGATGGGCAAAGGTTGATCACTTGCCCAACCTATTTGCCATCGTGAATGTGTTGACGCACAAGCATTTGTGATATGGTGCAAGCCTTTTCGCTTCGTAATACCAGATATAGAATTTGCTCCACAACCAACTGAGTCGAATGCTTTAATGTTAAATGCTTATGCTTTAGGGTTTAGGGTCAGGGCCTGAAGGGAGGTCAGTGAGAGGGTGTCTCGTTCCCTTTATCCTCGCTTTCTCCTCTGCAGTTGTCACATCACATTTCCTCCCCCCACACCCACCACCAGCAGTTCAACCAGTTATAGAGCAAATTTCGAGACGTCTCAATGCCCACCTTTCTCCCCCTCCCAACTCCTCTCCCCTCTCCCTCTCCCCCTCCCAACTCCTCTCCCCTCTCCCTCTCCCCCCCCCCTTCTCCCCTCTCCCTCTCCTTCCCTCACCAGCATGCACGAGGTGGCCAACAGTCGCAACCGGCGAATAGAGCGGGCGGGTGACAGGGAGCTGAAGCAGGCGTGTGAGTGGCTCGACCACAACCGCGCTCAGTGCAAGGGCGCCGTCTACGGACCCATTCTCGCTGAGGTATGTACTGGTATTAGAAGGTGGGAACCAGTTTTGAAAGATGTTTTGAAAGGTGGGACACAGCTGAAATGTGAGATCCATTTCTGAAATGTGGGACTGACTTTTGATTTGAAAAGTGAGATCTGGTGGTATTCAACTTTGATTTGTGGGATCCAGCTTTGACGGGTGGAATCCAGTTTTGAAATATGGGATCCGTTTTTGAGACTGGGACCCAACTTTGATCAGTAGAACCCTTCTTTAGAAGGTGGGTCCCAACTTTGAAAGGGGGACCCAGTTTTATAATGTTGGATCGTGGATCGAACATTGAAAGGTGGAATCCAGTTCTGATAGGTGAACTCCTTTGAAAGGTGAGGTCCATCTTTGAAAGGTGGGGCCTACCTTTGAAGGGTGGGACCCATCTTTGAAATGTGGGACGGACCTTTGAAAGGTGAGACCTCGTGGGACCCAACATTGAATAGTAAGAACCAGCTCTAAAAAGTGGCAATCAGCTTTGAGAGGTGGGATCTGGCTTTGGACGGTGGAACATACCTTTCAAATGTGGAACTCAGCTTTGAGAGGTGGGACTCGTATCTGAAATGTGGACCCATCTTTGAAAGGTGGGACACAGCTAGGTAGGACCCAACTTCAAAGGTGAGACCCAACTTTGAAAGGTTGGGTCCAATTTCTAAGATAAGATCCAACTTTGAAAAGTGGGACCTAGCTAACGATTGACGGGATGTCGGCGCCGCTACGGAAAGAAACCCCCCGACGAAACAAGCACCGGCTCCTGCAGGTCCGTCCCCTACTCGCCCCTTCATAGGTCGTGGTGGAGAACCTGGTGTACCGCCCTGACTAATGCCTGCACCTCGTTCTGCAGATCCTCCCTGGCCAGAAGCCATAACTCCACCCTAAACCCTAAAACCCTAAAACCGGAACGAGTAACGGTCGTGTGCCACGGATAGCACGGTCCTAATTCACCTAATAGTTACTTCCGGCACGGAGAAAAGCCCGCCACTACAACTACAGAATTGATCGCTAGAAGCTTGATCCTCTAGCTACCAACCTTAATGTTGATGAAATTTCCATAAGCTACGGACTAGTTAGATGAAATGTCCGTGTTAAATCTCATGAACGGAGTGCAGTGGCCCTTAAAACCGCAAGGCTATGACGGTTGTGGGAGGGTGGGCTAAGCGCTAAAGTCGTTTTGTGTTTGAGCTCAAGAAATGAGCTCAAACACAAATCGGCCGCGACCTTGGTCGCGGCCAAATTTGACGCGAACATTTTGGTGTTCGTCGCCCCCCCCCGTCGAACACGAACATGTTCGTGTTCGGCATACCGTGGCCAAAGGTCAAAGGCGAACGGCGAACGTGTTCGGCCGAACACCGAACACGTTCGCCCCGAACAAATTAGGCGAAAAAAAAAGCCTGTTCGGTTCGCCTCGAACATGTTCGAGGCGAACCGAACGGCGTTCGGGGATTTGCTCAAGCCTATTGAAAGGTATGACTCAACTTTGAAATATTACTTGAAAAGTGGGACTTTTCAAGGTGGGACCCATCTTTGAAAGGTGGAACCCATCTTATACGGGGAACTGTGTGCTTTGGAATGTGAGACTCACCTTTGAAAGGTGGGACCTAGCTATGAAAGGTGGGACCGAGCTATGAAAGGTTGTAACAAGATGAGGTTCGCCATGCCAGCGTGCATGGGAACACCCGAACGGTTGAAACTCCCTCTCCTTGGCTAGCTCCGAATAAGGATAGGTGTTAGCCTCGGAGCATACTATTTTATCATTATCAGCTATTAGAAGCTACCAGAATCCAGCAGGGCGTGGCATCGAGGCACTATGCCATGATGCCATGCAGAAAGCGTGGCGATGCGGTTTTCCTTCGAGCCGCGCGTCCTTTTTCCTAGCATAAATATCTATCTTTGAATCTTGTTGTATTATCCCGAGATCGACTTCTAATTCTATCTTAGAATCAATCTTAAATCTTCTCTCCTCAACTCTCTCGTCTACATTTCTGGAGCTAGGCTTTAGTAGATTATCTTTCTTCCGCTGCAACGTTCTTTCTCTAGCTACGGCGCAGCTCACCCTACTTGCCATGCCCGGCAAGGCCAGCCGCGCCGTGCGCGGCAGCGCGCCATAGCCTTGTTTCATTGATGAGAGAAGATTCAAGATTGATTCCAAGAAGATAGAATCAGAAGTCGATCCTAGGATGATACAACAAGATTAAGAGAGAGATATTTATGCTAGGAAGAAGGACGCGCGGCTCGGAAGGAAAACCGCATCGCCACGCTTTCCGCATGAAATTTTTGCATAGTGCCTCGATGCCATGCCCTGTTGGATTCTGGTAGTTTCTAATATTTGATGATGATAAGATAGTATGTAGGCATGAGCAGGGGGCGAACACGAACATGTTCGCCAGGGGCGAACATGTCACCTGGGCAAACCGAACAGTGTTCGGTTCGCCGCGAACACTTTCAGTGAAAAGGGTGTTCGCTGTTCGCCTCTAGGGGCGAACACCCTCATGTTCGCCGCGAGCACGAACATGTTCTTGGCGAACATGTTCGTGCTCGCATGTCAGAGCCCTCGATATAGTCACATTAACCAGTGTACAGCCCTAATCTGGCCTTAATATTAATTTTGCCCACGATTTCAGCATGGGTTGGTGGATTCCCGTTGGCCTAAACCCCAAATGGCACTATAAAGCCCATCTATTCTCCCTACTAACTACGCTACCCTATTTGTGTAGTTTAGGCTGGGGCTTAGTGTTGCTGGTGGGAGTATGGGCTGTGGGTGGGAGGATGGTCAAGGTTTGAGCTCAAACTGAATGTCCCGCGACCTAAAAATGTTGGTCGCGGCGGCGAACACTTTTGTGTTCGTTGACACCCTCAGACGAACATGAACGTGTTTGTGTTCGTCGTGGCTCGGCCAGCCGCGGCGAACCGAATGCGAACATGTTCGGGCGAACACGAACGTGTTTTCCCTGAACACTTTAGGCCAAAAAACATATAATTGTTCGGTTCGCCACGGTGTTCGCCGAACAGGTGGTCGCCGTCCTGCTCAAGCCTAATAGTATGCTCTGAAGTTAACACCTATTCTTATTCGGAGCTAGCTAGGGAGAAGGAGTTTCAACCGTTCGGGTGTTCCCATGGACGCTGGCATGGCGAACCTCATCTTGTTACAAAGGTGGGACCCAAAATTGAGAGGTGGGACCTGTCTTTAAAAAACGAGAACCAGCTTTGAAAGGTGGAACCCAGGTTTGAAAGGTTGGATCTAACTTTCAAAAGTGGGACCCATCTTTAGAAGGTGAAACCCAGTTTTGAAAGGCGAGATCCCGCTTTGAATATGACCCTGCTTTGAAAGGTGGTACCCAACTTTGAAAAGTGTGACTCATTTTTAAAAGGTAAGACCCAGTCTTCAAAGATGTTGAATTGTGAGACCCTTTTTTGAAAGGTGGGATGCAGCTTAGAAAGGTGGAACCTACCTCCCATCTTTGAAATGTGGACCCAACTTCGAAATGTGGGAACCATCTTTGAAATGTAGGAGTTTAGCCTTGAATGTGAGTTTCAGCTTTTAAGGTAACATTCAGCTTTGAAGGTGAGATCAGCTTTGAAGGTAAGACTTAGCTTTGAAGGTAGAGTTCATTTGAAGGTGAGATGTAGCTTTGACGTTGAGATTCAGTTTTAAAGGCGAGACTCTCAGCTTTGAAGGTTAGATTCAGCTTTGAAGGTGAGACTCAGCTTCGACGGTGAGACTTTACTTCGAAAGTGAGACTCAACTTTGAAGGTGGATCAGAGTTAGCTTTAAAAGTGAGACTCAGTTTTGAAGGTTAAATTCATCTTTGAAGGTTAGATTCAGCTTTGAATATGAGACACAGCTTTGAAGGTTAGATTCAACTTTGATGGTAGATTCAGCTTTTAAGGTAAGATTCAGCTTTCAAGGTGAAATCTAGCTTTGAAGGTGAGCCTCAGCTTTGAAGGTTTAGGGTGCGATTCGTGAGACGGTGAGATTCGTTTTTGAAGGTGAGACTCAGCTTCGAATATTAGATTCAACTTTGAAGTTTTGAAGGTGAGATTTACTTTTGAAGGTGAGATTTACTTTTGAAGGTGAGGCTCAACTTTGAAGGTGAGACTCAGCTTTAAGGTGACAGTCGGAGTTAGCTTCGAAGGTGAGAGTCAACTTTGAAGGTGAGACTCATTTTTGAATGTGAGACTCATATTTGAATATGAGACTCAGCTTTGAATATGAGACTCAGCTTTGAAGGTGCGATTCAACTTGATGGTAGATTCAGCTTTGAAAGTGAGATTCAGTTTTTAAGGTAAGATTCAGTTTTCAAGGTGAGACTTAGCTTTGCTGTAGATTCAACTTTGAAAGTGACACTCAGCATTGAAGGTGAGACTCAATTTTGAAGGTGAGCCTCAGCTTTGAAAGTTAAGCCGCAGCTTCGTAAGTTAGATTTAGGTTAAATTCAGCTTTGAAGGTGAGACTCAGCTTTGAAGGTGAGACTCAGCTTTGAAGGTGAGACTCAGCTTTGAAGGTGAGACTCAGCCTTGAAGGTGAGACTCAGCCTTGAAGGTGAGACTCAGCTTTGAAGGTGAGACTCAGCTTTGAAGGTGAGACTCAGCATTGAAGGTGAGAATCAGCTTTGAAGGTGAGACTCAGCTTTGAAGGTGAGACTCAGCTTTGAAGGTGAGACTCAGCTTTGAAGGTGAGACTCAGCTTTGAAGGTGAGACTCAGCTTTGAAGGTGAGACTCAGCTTTGAAGGTGAGACTCAGCTTTGAAGGTGAGACTCAGCTTTGAAGGTGAGACTCAGCTTTGAAGGTGAGACTCAGCTTTGAAGGTGAGACTCAGCTTTGAAGGTGAGACTCAGCTTTGAAGGTGAGACTCAGCTTTGAAGGTGAGACCCAGCTTTGAAGGTGAGACTCAGCTTTGAAGGTGAGACTCAGCTTTGAAGGTGAGACTCAGCTTTGAAGGTGAGACTCAGCTTTGAAGGTGAGACTCAGCTTTGAAGGTGAGACTCAGCTTTGAAGGTGAGACTCAGCTTTGAAGGTGAGACTCAGCTTTGAAGGTGAGACTCAGCTTTGAAGGTGAGACTCAGCTTTGAAGGTGAGACTCAGCTTTGAAGGTGAGACTCAGCTTTGAAGGTGAGACTCAGCTTTGAAGGTGAGACTCAGCTTTGAAGGTGAGACTCAGCTTTGAAGGTGAGACTCAGCTTTGAAGGTGAGACTCAGCTTTGAAGGTGAGACTCAGCTTTGAAGGTGAGACCCAGCTTTGAAGGTGAGACTCAGCTTTGAAGGTGAGACCCAGCTTTGAAGGTGAGACTCAGCTTTGAAGGTGAGACTCAGCTTTGAAGGTGAGACTCAGCTTTGAAGGTGAGACTCAGCTTTGAAGGTGAGACTCAGCTTTGAAGGTGAGACTCAGCTTTGAAGGTGAGACTCAGCTTTGAAGGTGAGACTCAGCTTTGAAGGTGAGACTCAGCTTTGAAGGTGAGACTCAGCTTTGAAGGTGAGACTCAGCTTTGAAGGTGAGACTCAGCTTTGAAGGTGAGACTCAGCTTTGAAGGTGAGACTCAGCTTTGAAGGTGAGACTCAGCTTTGAAGGTGAGACTCAGCTTTGAAGGTGAGACTCAGCTTTGAAGGTGAAACTTAGCTTTGAAGGTGAGACTCAACTTTGAAGGTGAGACTCAGCTTTGAAGGTGAGACTCAGCTTTAAAATTGAGACTCAGCTTTGAAGGTGAGACTCAGCCTTGAAAGTTTGTTTCGGCTTTGAAGGTTTGTTTCAGCTTTGAGATGAGATTCAACTTTGAAGGTGAGACTCAACTTTGAAGGTTGAGACCCAGCTTTGACCCATCTTTAAAATGTGGGACACAGCTTTGGAAGGCGATTCAAGTATGGGTGAAACCGAGCTTTAAACCGTGATCAGTTCATGAGATCTTGCTCCTTCTATCGTGTGATGGGTTTAGATGATCTTGTTCTCTTCATCGTGTGATCAGTGAAGAAAGGTAGCATGGTGGCTGATGGCTGGCTGGGGACACAGTATCAATTCAAACCTGGGTCCTAGCTCTGAAAGGTGAGACAGCTTTGAAATGTGGGATCGATCTTTGATAGGTGATATCGATTGAGCTTTGAGACGTCTGGGAATCCAGTGCAAAGGGTGCTGCCTACTTGTCCATTCCTGCCGAGGTGTGATTGTCTGGCACGGCAGGACTGGGTGAGATGGTCTTCCACCCGCGGCCCTGTTTACGTCGAGGTGGTATTCAGTAATGAGTGGTGGTATCCAGTTCTGTGTGGTGGTATCCAGTTCTGTGTGGTGGTATCCAGTTCTGTGTGGTGGTATCCAGTTCTGTGTGGTGGTATCCAGTTCTGTGTGGTGGTATCCAGTTCTGTGTGGTGGTATCCAGTTCTGTGTGGTGGTATCCAGTTCTGTGTGGTGGTATCCAGTTCTGTGTGGTGGTATCCAGTTCTGTGTGGTGGTATCCAGTTCTGTGTGGTGGTATCCAGTTCTGTGTGGTGGTATCCAGTTCTGTGTGGTGGTATCCAGTTCTGTGTGGTGATATCCAGTTCTGAGCGGTAACACCTAGTCTTGAGTGGTGGTATTTAGTTCTGAGTGTTGATATTTAGTGGAGTGGTGGTATGCGGCTCTGAATGGTGGTGGCTAGTTTTGAGATCACTTGAAATGCAAATCAACGGTGCTGTTTACGGGTCGTGTAGTAGTGGTCGGGCCGGGTCGGGTTGACCCTGTTGCTCATGCCGTACAAAATGCCCCGGCCCCATGCTCCCGTTTGAATGGTGCTGAGGCATTCATTGAGTTTGCGGAGAGCTTTGTGAGAACTGTCGTCCACACTCTTTTGCCACAGGCAGTGAGGTGTGGTTTGGTGTGCTGTGCTGTGCTGTGCTGTGCTCCTCTGTTTCCCCACATCAACTCCTCCATTTCCCCTTTCCACCTCCCTCTTCCACCTCCCCCGCACCCCCAGGTGAACCTCATTGACCCCAATGCCCATGCAGTGTTTCTAGAGCCGCACGTGCCAATGTGGGTGCCAACAGTCACTCTCAACTTTCTTTAAATAACCGCATGTCCACGAGCCTGTTCCTATGGGTTCCTAAGGCGTGCAAGCAGCGTGTGTGGCGTGATGGGTGTTGACCAAGAAGTTGGATTATACGCGTACGTTTACGTACGTTTTACGTTACGTGTGCGGAGCTGAAAATTGTTTACCTTTGCGGGCAGATTACAATTTTTTTTGGGCTGCCCAGCAACCTTGTGCCCTCGTTTTTGCTGTAGATTCGGTTGTTTCTTGCACAACCAAAGGGTGGTGCGACGATGTTTCGACCATCGCCCATATAGTTTGTGGTGACGGGTTTCATGTGTGCTGGTTTTTCACACCATTGCCACATTTTTTGCCTCGCATCATGCCTCTTGTCCCACTCCTGTAGTCGATGGCCCTCTTGGCAATTTTTTCCCTGCCCGGATATATGTTACGCGTAAGTTTACGTTTACGCGTAATATTACGCGGGTCCAAAAACGTACGGACCCAACTTAGGTTGACCAGAAGCATGCTGTCTCGTTTACTCCTCGTCTTCTCAAGCGGTCCTTGTTTTGCTCGAACCTGGACCGTTGATTCCTCATTTTCTCCTCCTCTTCTCCTTTTCTCCTCCTTTCCTCCTCTTCTCCCCCTCTCCCGCTCTCCCATCTCTGCCCGGCAGGCCTTTGTGACGACAGTGGGGGAGGACCGGGACTTGTTGGTGCGCCATTTACAGCACCTCGGGATAGGAGTAGTGAATGAGAGCAGTCGCCCTGAGGAGCTGGGGCCCCCCGCACATGCCATGGCCGTGGATGCCCATGTGAGTGATGCCCATGTTATTGCTATCCTCTGCTATCTGTGATGTGACAGCGGGCGCTCCTTGTTCTGCTTCTGTGGAATGATTTCACGTGCAATGAACTCCTTCGAGCCTTGCTTTCCATTCTCCCTCGACTTCCTTGTCAACCTCCCTTCCTTCCCTCTTCTCCCTCGTTCCTCCCCCTTTTCTCCGTGCTTCCCGCCTCTGGCTTCCACCTACAACCATTCCCCCTTTTTTCCTGCCTTCTCTCCCTCATGTTCCTTCTCTCCCCGTCATGTTCCTTCTCTCCCTCATGTTCCTTCTCTCCTTCATGTTCCTTCTCTCCCTCATGTTCCTTCTCTCCCTCATGTTCCCTCTCTCCCTCATGTTCCCTCTCTCCCTCATGTTCCTTCTCTCCCTCATGTTCCTTCTCTCCCTCATGTTCCTTCTCTCCCTCATGTTCCCTCTCTCCCTCATGTTCCCTCTCTCCCTCATGTTCCTTCTCTCCCTCATGTTCCTTCTCTCCCCGTCATGTTCCTTCTCTCCCTCATGTTCCTTCTCTCCCTCATGTTCCTTCTCTCCCTCATGTTCCTTCTCTCCCTCATGTTCCCTCTCTCCCTCATGTTCCCTCTCTCCCTCATGTTCCTTCTCTCCCTCATGTTCCTTCTCTCCCCGTCATGTTCCTTCTCTCCCTCATGTTCCTTCTCTCCCTCATGTTCCTTCTCTCCCTCATGTTCCTTCTCTCCCTCATGTTCCTTCTCTCCCTCATGTTCCCTCTCTCCCTCATGTTCCCTCTCTCCCTCATGTTCCTTCTCTCCCTCATGTTCCTTCTCTCCCCGTCATGTTCCTTCTCTCCCTCATGTTCCTTCTCTCCCTCATGTTCCTTCTCTCCCTCATGTTCCTTCTCTCCCTCATGTTCCCTCTCTCCCTCATGTTCCCTCTCTCCCTCATGTTCCTTCTCTCCCTCATGTTCCTTCTCTCCCTCATGTTCCCTCTCTCCCTCATGTTCCTTCTCTCCCTCATGTTCCCTCTCTCCCTCATGTTCCCTCTCTCCCTCATGTTCCTTCTCTCCCTCATGTTCCTTCTCTCCCTCATGTTCCCTCTCTCCCTCATGTTCCCTCTCTCCCTCATGTTCCTTCTCTCCCTCATGTTCCTTCTCTCCCTCATGTTCCCTCTCTCCCTCATGTTCCTTCTCTCCCTCATGTTCCCTCTCTCCCTCATGTTCCCTCTCTCCCTCATGTTCCTTCTCTCCCTCATGTTCCTTCTCTCCCTCATGTTCCCTCTCTCCCTCATGTTCCCTCTCTCCCTCATGTTCCTTCTCTCCCTCATGCTCCCTCTCTCCCTCATGTTCCTTCTCTCCCTCATGTTCCTTCTCTCCCTCATGTTCCCTCTCTCCCTCATGTTCCCTCTCTCCCTCATGTTCCTTCTCTCCCTCATGTTCCTTCTCTCCCTCATGTTCCCTCTCTCCCTCATGTTCCCTCTCTCCCTCATGTTCCCTCTCTCCCTCATGTTCCTTCTCTCCCTCATGTTCCTTCTCTCCCTCATGTTCCCTCTCTCCCTCATGTTCCTTCTCTCCCTCATGTTCCCTCTCTCCCTCATGTTCCCTCTCTCCCTCATGTTCCTTCTCTCCCTCATGTTCCTTCTCTCCCTCATGTTCCCTCTCTCCCTCATGTTCCCTCTCTCCCTCATGTTCCTTCTCTCCCTCATGTTCCTTCTCTCCCTCATGTTCCCTCTCTCCCTCATGTTCCTTCTCTCCCTCATGTTCCCTCTCTCCCTCATGTTCCTTCTCTCCCTCATGTTCCCTCTCTCCCTCATGTTCCTTCTCTCCCTCATGTTCCTTCTCTCCCTCATGTTCCCTCTCTCCCTCATGTTCCTTCTCTCCCTCATGTTCCCTCTCTCCCTCATGTTCCCTCTCTCCCTCATGTTCCTTCTCTCCCTCATGTTCCTTCTCTCCCTCATGTTCCCTCTCTCCCTCATGTTCCCTCTCTCCCTCATGTACCTTCTCTCCCTCATGTTCCTTCTCTCCCTCATGTTCCTTCTCTCCCTCATGTTCCTTCTCTCCCTCATGTTCCCTCTCTCCCTCATGTTCCTTCTCTCCCTCATGTTCCTTCTCTCCCTCATGTTCCATCTCTCCCTCATGTTCCCTCTCTCCCTCATGTTCCCTCTCTCCCTCATGTTCCTTCTCTCCCTCATGTTCCTTCTCTCCCTCATGTTCCCTCTCTCCCTCATGTTCCTTCTCTCCCTCATGTTCCCTCTCTCCCTCATGTTCCCTCTCTCCCTCATGTTCCTTCTCTCCCTCATGTTCCATCTCTCCCTCATGTTCCCTCTCTCCCTCATGTTCCCTCTCTCCCTCATGTTCCTTCTCTCCCTCATGTTCCTTCTCTCCCTCATGTTCCTTCTCTCCCTCATGTTCCTTCTCTCCCTCATGTTCCCTCTCTCCCTCATGTTCCCTCTCTCCCTCATGTTCCTTCTCTCCCTCATGTTCCTTCTCTCCCTCATGTTCCCTCTCTCCCTCATGTTCCTTCTCTCCCTCATGTTCCCTCTCTCCCTCATGTTCCTTCTCTCCCTCATGTTCCCTCTCTCCCTCATGTTCCTTCTCTCCCTCATGTTCCTTCTCTCCCTCATGTTCCCTCTCTCCCTCATGTTCCTTCTCTCCCTCATGTTCCCTCTCTCCCTCATGTTCCCTCTCTCCCTCATGTTCCTTCTCTCCCTCATGTTCCTTCTCTCCCTCATGTTCCCTCTCTCCCTCATGTTCCCTCTCTCCCTCATGTTCCTTCTCTCCCTCATGTTCCTTCTCTCCCTCATGTTCCCTCTCTCCCTCATGTTCCTTCTCTCCCTCATGTTCCCTCTCTCCCTCATGTTCCCTCTCTCCCTCATGTTCCTTCTCTCCCTCATGTTCCATCTCTCCCTCATGTTCCCTCTCTCCCTCATGTTCCCTCTCTCCCTCATGTTCCCTCTCTCCCTCATGTTCCTTCTCTCCCTCATGTTCCTTCTCTCCTCATGTTCCTTCTCTCCCTCATGTTCCTTCTCTCCCTCATGTTCCTTCTCTCCCTCATGTTCCTTCTCTCCCTCATGTTCCTTCTCTCCCTCATGTTCCTTCTCTCCCTCATGTTCCTTCTCTCCCTCATGTTCCTTCTCTCCCTCATGTTCCTTCTCTCCCTCATGTTCCTTCTCTCCCTCATGTTCCTTCTCTCCCTCATGTTCCTTCTCTCCCTCATGTTCCTTCTCTCCTCATGTTCCTTCTCTCCCTCATGTTCCTTCTCTCCCTCTCTCCCTCATGTTCCTTCTCTCCCTCATGTTCCTTCTCTCCCTCATGTTCCTTCTCTCCCTCATGTTCCTTCTCTCCCTCATGTTCCTTCTCTCCCTCATGTTCCTTCTCTCCCTCATGTTCCTTCTCTCCCTCATGTTCCTTCTCTCCCTCATGTTCCTTCTCTCCCTCATGTTCCCTCTCTCCCTCATGTTCCTTCTCTCCCTCATGTTCCCTCTCTCCCTCATGTTCCTTCTCTCCCTCATGTTCCCTCTCTCCCTCATGTTCCTTCTCTCCCTCATGTTCCCTCTCTCCCTCATGTTCCTTCTCTCCCTCATGTTCCTTCTCTCCCTCATGTTCCCTCTCTCCCTCATGTTCCTTCTCTCCCTCATGTTCCTTCTCTCCCTCATGTTCCTTCTCTCCCTCATGTTCCTTCTCTCCCTCATGTTCCTTCTCTCCCTCATGTTCCTTCTCTCTCTCATGTTCCTTCTCTCCCTCATGTTCCTTCTCTCCCTCATGTTCCCTCTCTCCCTCATGTTCCCTCTCTCCCTCATGTTCCTTCTCTCCCTCATGTTCCTTCTCTCCCCGTCATGTTCCTTCTCTCCCTCATGTTCCTTCTCTCCCTCATGTTCCTTCTCTCCCTCATGTTCCTTCTCTCCCTCATGTTCCTTCTCTCCCTCATGTTCCCTCTCTCCCTCATGTTCCCTCTCTCCCTCATGTTCCTTCTCTCCCTCATGTTCCTTCTCTCCCCGTCATGTTCCTTCTCTCCCTCATGTTCCTTCTCTCCCTCATGTTCCTTCTCTCCCTCATGTTCCTTCTCTCCCTCATGTTCCCTCTCTCCCTCATGTTCCCTCTCTCCCTCATGTTCCTTCTCTCCCTCATGTTCCTTCTCTCCCTCATGTTCCCTCTCTCCCTCATGTTCCTTCTCTCCCTCATGTTCCTTCTCTCCCTCATGTTCCTTCTCTCCCTCATGTTCCCTCTCTCCCTCATGTTCCTTCTCTCCCTCATGTTCCTTCTCTCCCTCATGTTCCTTCTCTCCCTCATGTTCCTTCTCTCCCTCATGTTCCTTCTCTCCCTCATGTTCTTCTCTCCCTCATGTTCCTTCTCTCCCTCATGTTCCTTCTCTCCCTCATGTTCCTTCTCTCCCTCATGTTCCTTCTCTCCCTCATGTTCCTTCTCTCCCTCATGTTCCTTCTCTCCCTCATGTTCCTTCTCTCCCTCATGTTCCTTCTCTCCCTCATGTTCCTTCTCTCCCTCATGTTCCTTCTCTCCCTCATGTTCCTTCTCTCCCTCATGTTCCTTCTCTCCCTCATGTTCCTTCTCTCCCTCATGTTCCTTCTCTCCCTCATGTTCCTTCTCTCCCTCATGTTCCTTCTCTCCCTCATGTTCCTTCTCTCCCTCATGTTCCTTCTCTCCCTCATGTTCCTTCTCTCCCTCATGTTCCTTCTCTCCCTCATGTTCCTTCTCTCCCTCATGTTCCCTCTCTCCCTCATGTTCCCTCTCTCCCTCATGTTCCTTCTCTCCCTCATGTTCCTTCTCTCCCTCATGTTCCTTCTCTCCCTCATGTTCCTTCTCTCCCTCATGTTCCTTCTCTCCCTCATGTTCCTTCTCTCCCTCATGTTCCTTCTCTCCCTCATGTTCCTTCTCTCCCTCATGTTCCCTCTCTCCCTCATGTTCCCTCTCTCCCTCATGTTCCTTCTCTCCCTCATGTTCCCTCTCTCCCTCATGTTCCCTCTCTCCCTCATGTTCCTTCTCTCCCTCATGTTCCCTCTCTCCCTCATGTTCCTTCTCTCCCTCATGTTCCTTCTCTCCCTCATGTTCCCTCTCTCCCTCATGTTCCTTCTCTCCCTCATGTTCCCTCTCTCCCTCATGTTCCCTCTCTCCCTCATGTTCCTTCTCTCCCTCATGTTCCTTCTCTCCCTCATCTTCCCTCTCTCCCTCATGTTCCCTCTCTCCCTCATGTTCCTTCTCTCCCTCATGTTCCTTCTCTCCCTCATGTTCCCTCTCTCCCTCATGTTCCTTCTCTCCCTCATGTTCCCTCTCTCCCTCATGTTCCCTCTCTCCCTCATGTTCCTTCTCTCCCTCATGTTCCATCTCTCCCTCATGTTCCCTCTCTCCCTCATGTTCCCTCTCTCCCTCATGTTCCTTCTCTCCCTCATGTTCCTTCTCTCCCTCATGTTCCCTCTCTCCCTCATGTTCCTTCTCTCCCTCATGTTCCTTCTCTCCCTCATGTTCCTTCTCTCCCTCATGTTCCTTCTCTCCCTCATGTTCCTTCTCTCCCTCATGTTCCTTCTCTCCCTCATGTTTCTTCTCTCCCTCATGTTCCTTCTCTCCCTCATGTTCCTTCTCTCCCTCATGTTCCTTCTCTCCCTCATGTTCCTTCTCTCCCTCATGTTCCTTCTCTCCCTCATGTTCCTTCTCTCCCTCATGTTCCTTCTCTCCCTCATGTTCCTTCTCTCCCTCATGTTCCTTCTCTCCCTCTTCTTCTCTCCATCATGTTCCTTCTCTCCCTCATGTTCCTTCTCTCCCTCATGTTCCTTCTCTCCCTCATGTTCCTTCTCTCCCTCATGTTCCTTCTCTCCCTCATGTTCCTTCTCTCCCTCATGTTCCTTCTCTCCCTCATGTTCCTTCTCTCCCTCATGTTCCTTCTCTCCCTCATGTTCCTTCTCTCCCTCATGTTCCTTCTCTCCCTCATGTTCCTTCTCTCCCCGTCATGTTCCTTCTCTCCCTCATGTTCCTTCTCTCCCTCATGTTCCTTCTCTCCCTCATGTTCCTTCTCTCCCTCATGTTCCTTCTCTCCCTCATGTTCCCTCTCTCCCTCATGTTCCCTCTCTCCTCATGTTCCTTCTCTCCCTCATGTTCCTTCTCTCCCTCATGTTCCCTCTCTCCCTCATGTTCCTTCTCTCCCTCATGTTCCTTCTCTCCCTCATGTTCCTTCTCTCCCTCATGTTCCCTCTCTCCCTCATGTTCCTTCTCTCCCTCATGTTCCTTCTCTCCCTCATGTTCCTTCTCTCCCTCATGTTCCTTCTCTCCCTCATGTTCTTCTCTCCCTCATGTTTCTTCTCTCCCTCATGTTCCTTCTCTCCCTCATGTTCCTTCTCTCCCTCATGTTCCTTCTCTCCCTCATGTTCCTTCTCTCCCTCATGTTCCTTCTCTCCCTCATGTTCCTTCTCTCCCTCATGTTCCCTCTCTCCCTCATGTTCCCTCTCTCCCTCATGTTCCTTCTCTCCCTCATGTTCCTTCTCTCCCTCATGTTCCTTCTCTCCCTCATGTTCCTTCTCTCCCTCATGTTCCTTCTCTCCCTCATGTTCCTTCTCTCCCTCATGTTCCTTCTCTCCCTCATGTTCCTTCTCTCCCTCATGTTCCCTCTCTCCCTCATGTTCCCTCTCTCCCTCATGTTCCTTCTCTCCCTCATGTTCCATCTCTCCCTCATGTTCCCTCTCTCCCTCATGTTCCTCTCTCTCCCTCATGTTCCTTCTCTCCCTCATGTTCCCTCTCTCCCTCATGTTCCTTCTCTCCCTCATGTTCCTTCTCTCCCTCATGTTCCCTCTCTCCCTCATGTTCCTTCTCTCCCTCATGTTCCCTCTCTCCCTCATGTTCCCTCTCTCCCTCATGTTCCTTCTCTCCCTCATGTTCCTTCTCTCCCTCATCTTCCCTCTCTCCCTCATGTTCCCTCTCTCCCTCATGTTCCTTCTCTCCCTCATGTTCCTTCTCTCCCTCATGTTCCCTCTCTCCCTCATGTTCCTTCTCTCCCTCATGTTCCCTCTCTCCCTCATGTTCCCTCTCTCCCTCATGTTCCTTCTCTCCCTCATGTTCCATCTCTCCCTCATGTTCCCTCTCTCCCTCATGTTCCCTCTCTCCCTCATGTTCCTTCTCTCCCTCATGTTCCTTCTCTCCCTCATGTTCCCTCTCTCCCTCATGTTCCTTCTCTCCCTCATGTTCCTTCTCTCCCTCATGTTCCTTCTCTCCCTCATGTTCCTTCTCTCCCTCATGTTCCTTCTCTCCCTCATGTTCCTTCTCTCCCTCATGTTCTTCTCTCCCTCATGTTCCTTCTCTCCCTCATGTTCCTTCTCTCCCTCATGTTCCTTCTCTCCCTCATGTTCCTTCTCTCCCTCATGTTCCTTCTCTCCCTCATGTTCCTTCTCTCCCTCATGTTCCTTCTCTCCCTCATGTTCCTTCTCTCCCTCATGTTCCTTCTCTCCCTCATGTTCCTTCTCTCCCTCATGTTCCTTCTCTCCCTCATGTTCCTTCTCTCCCTCATGTTCCTTCTCTCCCTCATGTTCCTTCTCTCCCTCATGTTCCTTCTCTCCCTCATGTTCCTTCTCTCCCTCATGTTCCTTCTCTCCCTCATGTTCCTTCTCTCCCTCATGTTCCTTCTCTCCTCATGTTCCTTCTCTCCCTCATGTTCCTTCTCTCCCTCATGTTCCTTCTCTCCCTCATGTTCCTTCTCTCCCTCATGTTCCTTCTCTCCCTCATGTTCCTTCTCTCCCCGCCCTCCTGTTCCTTCTCTCCCTCATGTTCCCTTCTCTCCCTCATGTTCCTTCTCTCCCTCATGTCCTCTCCCTCATGTTCCCTCTCTCCCTCATGTTCCTTCTCTCCCTCATGTTCCCTCTCTCCCTCATGGTTCCCTCTCTCCCTCATGTTCCTTCTCTCCCTCATGTTCCTTCTCTCCCTCATGTTCCCTTCTCTCCCTCATGTTCCCTTCTCTCCCTCATGTTCCTTCTCTCCCTCATGTTCCTTCTCTCCCTCATGTTCCTTCTCTTCCCTCATGTTCCTCTCTCCCTCATGTTCCCTCTCTCCCTCATGTTCCTTCTCCTCCCTCATGTTCCTTCTCTCCCTCATGTCATCTCCCCTAGTCTCTCTCCCTCATGTTCCTTCTCTCCCTCATGTTCCTTCTCTCCCTCATGTTCCTTCTCTCCCTCATGTTCCCTCTCTCCCTCATGTTCCTTCTCTCCCTCATGTTCCTTCTCTCCCTCATGTTCCTTCTCTCCCTCATGTTCCTTCTCTCCCTCATGTCCTCTCCCTCATGTTCCTTCTCTCCCTCATGTTCTTCTCTCCCTCTCCCTCATGTTCCTTCTCTCCCTCATGTTCCTTCTCTCCCTCATGTTCCTTCTCTCCCTCATGTTCCTTCTCTCCCTCATGTTCCTTCTCTCCCTCATGTTCCTTCTCTCCCTCATGTTCCTTCTCTCCCTCATGTTCCTTCTCTCCCTCATGTTCCTTCTCTCCCTCATGTTCCTTCTCTCCCTCATGTTCCTTCTCTCCCTCATGTTTCCTTCTCTCCTCATGTTCCTTCTCTCCCTCATGTTCCTTCTCTCCCTCATGTTCCTTCTCTCCCTCATGTTCCTTCACTCCCTCATGTTCCTTCTCTCCCTCATGTTCCTTCTCTCCCTCATGTTCCTTCTCTCCCTCATGTTCCTTCTCTCCCTCATGTTCCTTCTCTCCCTCATGTTCCCTCTCTCCCTCATGTTCCCTCTCTCCCTCATGTTCCTTCTCTCCCTCATGTTCCTTCTCTCCCTCATGTTCCTTCTCTCCCTCATGTTCCTTCTCTCCCTCATGTTCCTTCTCTCCCTCATGTTCCTTCTCTCCCTCATGTTCCTTCTCTCCCTCATGTTCCTTCTCTCCCTCATGTTCCCTCTCTCCCTCATGTTCCCTCTCTCCCTCATGTTCCTTCTCTCCCTCATGTTCCATCTCTCCCTCATGTTCCCTCTCTCCCTCATGTTCCCTCTCTCCCTCATGTTCCTTCTCTCCCTCATGTTCCCTCTCTCCCTCATGTTCCTTCTCTCCCTCATGTTCCTTCTCTCCCTCATGTTCCCTCTCTCCCTCATGTTCCTTCTCTCCCTCATGTTCCCTCTCTCCCTCATGTTCCCTCTCTCCCTCATGTTCCTTCTCTCCCTCATGTTCCTTCTCTCCCTCATCTTCCCTCTCTCCCTCATGTTCCCTCTCTCCCTCATGTTCCTTCTCTCCCTCATGTTCCTTCTCTCCCTCATGTTCCCTCTCTCCCTCATGTTCCTTCTCTCCCTCATGTTCCCTCTCTCCCTCATGTTCCCTCTCTCCCTCATGTTCCTTCTCTCCCTCATGTTCCATCTCTCCCTCATGTTCCCTCTCTCCCTCATGTTCCCTCTCTCCCTCATGTTCCTTCTCTCCCTCATGTTCCTTCTCTCCCTCATGTTCCCTCTCTCCCTCATGTTCCTTCTCTCCTCATGTTCCTTCTCTCCCTCATGTTCCTTCTCTCCCTCATGTTCCTTCTCTCCCTCATGTTCCTTCTCTCCCTCATGTTCTTCTCTCCCTCATGTTCCTTCTCTCCCTCATGTTCCTTCTCTCCCTCATGTTCCTTCTCTCCCTCATGTTCCTTCTCTCCCTCATGTTCCTTCTCTCCCTCATGTTCCTTCTCTCCCTCATGTTCCTTCTCTCCCTCATGTTCCTTCTCTCCCTCATGTTCCTTCTCTCCCTCATGTTCCTTCTCTCCCTCATGTTCCTTCTCTCCCTCATGTTCCTTCTCTCCCTCATGTTCCTTCTCTCCCTCATGTTCCTTCTCTCCCTCATGTTCCTTCTCTCCCTCATGTTCCTTCTCTCCCTCATGTTCCTTCTCTCCCTCATGTTCCTTCTCTCCCTCATGTTCCTTCTCTCCCTCATGTTCCTTCTCTCCCTCATGTTCCTTCTCTCCCTCATGTTCCTTCTCTCCCTCATGTTCCTTCTCTCCCTCATGTTCCTTCTCTCCCTCATGTTCCTTCTCTCCCTCATGTTCCTTCTCTCCCTCATGTTCCTTCTCTCCCTCATGTTCCTTCTCTCCCTCATGTTCCTTCTCTCCCTCATGTTCCTCTCTCCCTCATGTTCCTTCTCTCCCTCATGTTCCTTCTCTCCCTCATGTTCCTTCTCTCCCTCATGTTCCTTCTCTCCCTCATGTTCCTTCTCTCCCTCATGTTCCTTCTCTCCTCATGTTCCTTCTCTCCCTCATGTTCCTTCTCTCCCTCATGTTCCTTCTCTCCCTCATGTTCCTTCTCTCCCTCATGTTCCTTCTCTCCCTCATGTTCCTTCTCTCCCTCATGTTCCTTCTCTCCCTCATGTTCCTTCTCTCCTCATGTTCCTTCTCTCCCTCATGTTCCTTCTCTCCCTCATGTTCCTTCTCTCCCTCATGTTCCTTCTCTCCCTCATGTTCCTTCTCTCCCTCATGTTCCTTCTCTCCCTCATGTTCCTTCTCTCCCTCATGTTCCTTCTCTCCCTCATGTTCCTTCTCTCCCTCATGTTCCTTCTCTCCCTCATGTTCCTTCTCTCCTCATGTTCCTTCTCTCCCTCATGTTCCTTCTCTCCCTCATGTTCCTTCTCTCCCTCATGTTCCTTCTCTCCCTCATGTTCCCTTCTCTCCCTCATGTTCCTTCTCTCCCTCATGTTCCTTCTCTCCCTCATGTTCCTCTCTCCCTCATGTTCCTTCTCTCCCTCATGTTCCTTCTCTCCCTCATGTTCCTTCTCTCCCTCATGTTCCTTCTCTCCCTCATGTTCCTTCTCTCCCTCATGTTCCTTCTCTCCCTCATGTTCCTTCTCTCCCTCATGTTCCTCTCTCCCTCATGTTCCCTTCTCTCCCTCATGTTCCCTTCTCTCCCTCATGTTCCTCTCTCCCTCATGTTCCTCTCTCCCTCATGTTCCTTCTCTCCCTCATGTTCCTTCTCTCCCTCATGTTCCTTCTCTCCCTCATGTTCCTTCTCTCCCTCATGTTCCCTTCTCTCCCTCATGTTCCCTTCTCTCCCTCATGTTCCTTCTCTCCCTCATGTTCCTTCTCTCCCTCATGTTCCTTCTCTCCCTCATGTTTCCTTCTCTCCCTCATGTTCCTTCTCTCCCTCATGTTCCTTCTCTCCCTCATGTTCCTTCTCTCCCTCATGTTCCTCTCTCCTCATGTTCCTTCTCTCCCTCATGTTCCTTCTCTCCCTCATGTTCCTTCTCTCCCTCATGTTCCTTCTCTCCCTCATGTTCCTTCTCTCCCTCATGTTCCTTCTCTCCCTCATGTTCCTTCTCTCCCTCATGTTCCTTCTGCTCCCTCATGTTCCTTCTCTCCCTCATGTTCCTTCTCTCCCTCATGTTCTCATGTCTCTCCCTCATGTTCCTTCTCTCCCTCATGTTCCTTCTCTCCCTCATGTTCCTTCTCTCCCTCATGTTCCTTCTCTCCCTCATGTTCCTTCTCTCCCTCATGTTCCTTCTCTCCCTCATGTTCCTTCTCTCCCTCATGTTCCTTCTCTCCCTCATGTTCCTTCTCTCCCTCATGTTCCTTCTCTCCCTCATGTTCCTTCTCTCCCTCATGTTCTTCTCTCCCTCATGTTCCTTCTCTCCCTCATGTTCCTTCTCTCCCTCATGTTCCTTCTCTCCTCATGTTCCTTCTCTCCCTCATGTTCCTTCTCTCCCTCATGTTCCTTCTCTCCCTCATGTTCCTTCTCTCCCTCATGTTCTTCTCTCCCTCATGTTCCTTCTCTCCCTCATGTTCCTTCTCTCCCTCATGTTCCTTCTCTCCCTCATGTTCCTTCTCTCCCTCATGTTCCTTCTCTCCCTCATGTTCCTTCTCTCCCTCATGTTCCTTCTCTCCCTCATGTTCCTTCTCTCCCTCATGTTCCTTCTCTCCCTCATGTTCCTTCTCTCCCTCATGTTCCTTCTCTCCCTCATGTTCCTTCTCTCCCTCATGTTCCTTCTCTCCCTCATGTTCCTTCTCTCCCTCATGTTCCTTCTCTCCCTCATGTTCCTTCTCTCCCTCATGTTCCTTCTCTCCCTCATGTTCCTTCTCTCCCTCATGTTCCTTCTCTCCCTCATGTTCCTTCTCTCCCTCATGTTCCTTCTCTCCCTCATGTTCCTTCTCTCCCTCATGTTCCTTCTCTCCCTCATGTTCCTTCTCTCCCTCATGTTCCTTCTCTCCCTCATGTTCCTTCTCTCCCTCATGTTCCTTCTCTCCCTCATGTTCCTTCTCTCCCTCATGTTCCTTCTCTCCTCATGTTCCTTCTCTCCTCATGTTCCTTCTCTCCCTCATGTTCCTTCTCTCCCTCATGTTCCTTCTCTCCCTCATGTTCCTTCTCTCCCTCATGTTCCTTCTCTCCCTCATGTTCCTTCTCTCCCTCATGTTCCTTCTCTCCCTCATGTTCCTTCTCTCCCTCATGTTCCTTCTCTCCCTCATGTTCCTTCTCTCCCTCATGTTCCTTCTCTCCCTCATGTTCCTTCTCTCCCTCATGTTCCTTCTCTCCCTCATGTTCCTTCTCTCCCTCATGTTCCTTCTCTCCCTCATGTTCCTTCTCTCCCTCATGTTCCTTCTCTCCCTCATGTTCCTTCTCTCCCTCATGTTCCTTCTCTCCCTCATGTTCCTTCTCTCCCTCATGTTCCTTCTCTCCCTCATGTTCCTTCTCTCCCTCATGTTCCTTCTCTCCCTCATGTTCCTTCTCTCCCTCATGTTCCTTCTCTCCCTCATGTTCCTTCTCTCCCTCATGTTCCTTCTCTCCCTCATGTTCCTTCTCTCCCTCATGTTCCTTCTCTCCCTCATGTTCCTTCTCTCCCTCATGTTCCTTCTCTCCCTCATGTTCCTTCTCTCCCTCATGTTCCTTCTCTCCCTCATGTTCCTTCTCTCCCTCATGTTCCTTCTCTCCCTCATGTTCCTTCTCTCCCTCATGTTCCTTCTCTCCCTCATGTTCCTTCTCTCCCTCATGTTCCTTCTCTCCCTCATGTTCCTTCTCTCCCTCATGTTCCTTCTCTCCCTCATGTTCCTTCTCTCCCTCATGTTCCTTCTCTCCCTCATGTTCCTTCTCTCCCTCATGTTCCTTCTCTCCCTCATGTTCCTTCTCTCCCTCATGTTCCTTCTCTCCCTCATGTTCCTTCTCTCCCTCATGTTCCTTCTCTCCCTCTCCCTCATGTTCCTTCTCTCCCTCATGTTCCTTCTCTCCCTCATGTTCCTTCTCTCCCTCATGTTCCTTCTCTCCCTCATGTTCCTTCTCTCCCTCATGTTCCTTCTCTCCCTCATGTTCCTTCTCTCCCTCATGTTCCTTCTCTCCCTCATGTTCCTTCTCTCCCTCATGTTCCTTCTCTCCCTCATGTTCCTTCTCTCCCTCATGTTCCTTCTCTCCCTCATGTTCCTTCTCTCCCTCATGTTCCTTCTCTCCCTCATGTTCCTTCTCTCCCTCATGTTCCTTCTCTCCCTCATGTTCTTCTCTCCCTCATGTTCCTTCTCTCCCTCATGTTCCTTCTCTCCCTCATGTTCCTTCTCTCCCTCATGTTCCTTCTCTCCCTCATGTTCCTTCTCTCCCTCATGTTCCTTCTCTCCCTCATGTTCCTTCTCTCCCTCATGTTCCTTCTCTCCCTCATGTTCCTTCTCTCCCTCATGTTCCTTCTCTCCCTCATGTTCCTTCTCTCCCTCATGTTCCTTCTCTCCCTCATGTTCCTTCTCTCCCTCATGTTCCTTCTCTCCCTCATGTTTCCTTCTCTCCCTCATGTTCCTTCTCTCCCTCATGTTCCTTCTCTCCCTCATGTTCCTTCTCTCCCTCATGTTCCTTCTCTCCCTCATGTTCCTTCTCTCCCTCATGTTCCTTCTCTCCCTCATGTTCCTTCTCTCCCTCATGTTCCTTCTCTCCCTCATGTTCCTTCTCTCCCTCATGTTCCTTCTCTCCCTCATGTTCCTTCTCTCCCTCATGTTCCTTCTCTCCCTCATGTTCCTTCTCTCCCTCATGTTCCTTCTCTCCCTCATGTTCCTTCTCTCCCTCATGTTCCTTCTCTCCCTCATGTTCCTTCTCTCCCTCATGTTCCTTCTCTCCCTCATGTTCCTTCTCTCCCTCATGTTCCTTCTCTCCCTCATGTTCCTTCTCTCCCTCATGTTCCTTCTCTCCCTCATGTTCCTTCTCTCCCTCATGTTCCTTCTCTCCCTCATGTTCCTTCTCTCCCTCATGTTCCTTCTCTCCCTCATGTTCCTTCTCTCCCTCATGTTCCTTCTCTCCCTCATGTTCCTTCTCTCCCTCATGTTCCTTCTCTCCCTCATGTTCCTTCTCTCCCTCATGTTCCTTCTCTCCCTCATGTTCCTTCTCTCCCTCATGTTCCTTCTCTCCCTCATGTTCCTTCTCTCCCTCATGTTCCTTCTCTCCCTCATGTTCCTTCTCTCCCTCATGTTCCTTCTCTCCCTCATGTTCCTTCTCTCCCTCATGTTCCTTCTCTCCCTCATGTTCCTTCTCTCCCTCATGTTCCTTCTCTCCCTCATGTTCCTTCTCTCCCTCATGTTCCTTCTCTCCCTCATGTTCCTTCTCTCCCTCATGTTCCTTCTCTCCCTCATGTTCCTTCTCTCCCTCATGTTCCTTCTCTCCCTCATGTTCCTTCTCTCCCTCATGTTCCTTCTCTCCCTCATGTTCCTTCTCTCCCTCATGTTCCTTCTCTCCCTCATGTTCCTTCTCTCCCTCATGTTCCTTCTCTCCCTCATGTTCCTTCTCTCCCTCATGTTCCTTCTCTCCCTCATGTTCCTTCTCTCCCTCATGTTCCTTCTCTCCCTCATGTTCCTTCTCTCCCTCATGTTCCTTCTCTCCCTCATGTTCCTTCTCTCCCTCATGTTCCTTCTCTCCCTCATGTTCCTTCTCTCCCTCATGTTCCTTCTCTCCCTCATGTTCCTTCTCTCCCTCATGTTCCTTCTCTCCCTCATGTTCCTTCTCTCCCTCATGTTCCTTCTCTCCCTCATGTTCCTTCTCTCCCTCATGTTCCTTCTCTCCCTCATGTTCCTTCTCTCCCTCATGTTCCTTCTCTCCCTCATGTTCCTTCTCTCCCTCATGTTCCTTCTCTCCCTCATGTTCCTTCTCTCCCTCATGTTCCTTCTCTCCCTCATGTTCCTTCTCTCCCTCATGTTCCTTCTCTCCCTCATGTTCCTTCTCTCCCTCATGTTCCTTCTCTCCCTCATGTTCCTTCTCTCCCTCATGTTCCTTCTCTCCCTCATGTTCCTTCTCTCCCTCATGTTCCTTCTCTCCCTCATGTTCCTTCTCTCCCTCATGTTCCTTCTCTCCCTCATGTTCCTTCTCTCCCTCATGTTCCTTCTCTCCCTCATGTTCCTTCTCTCCCTCATGTTCCTTCTCTCCCTCATGTTCCTTCTCTCCCTCATGTTCCTTCTCTCCCTCATGTTCCTTCTCTCCCTCATGTTCCTTCTCTCCCTCATGTTCCTTCTCTCCCTCATGTTCCTTCTCTCCCTCATGTTCCTTCTCTCCCTCATGTTCCTTCTCTCCCTCATGTTCCTTCTCTCCCTCATGTTCCTTCTCTCCCTCATGTTCCTTCTCTCCCTCATGTTCCTTCTCTCCCTCATGTTCCTTCTCTCCCTCATGTTCCTTCTCTCCCTCATGTTCCTTCTCTCCCTCATGTTCCTTCTCTCCCTCATGTTCCTTCTCTCCCTCATGTTCCTTCTCTCCCTCATGTTCCTTCTCTCCCTCATGTTCCTTCTCTCCCTCATGTTCCTTCTCTCCCTCATGTTCCTTCTCTCCCTCATGTTCCTTCTCTCCCTCATGTTCCTTCTCTCCCTCATGTTCCTTCTCTCCCTCATGTTCCTTCTCTCCCTCATGTTCCTTCTCTCCCTCATGTTCCTTCTCTCCCTCATGTTCCTTCTCTCCCTCATGTTCCTTCTCTCCCTCATGTTCCTTCTCTCCCTCATGTTCCTTCTCTCCCTCATGTTCCTTCTCTCCCTCATGTTCCTTCTCTCCCTCATGTTCCTTCTCTCCCTCATGTTCCTTCTCTCCCTCATGTTCCTTCTCTCCCTCATGTTCCTTCTCTCCCTCATGTTCCTTCTCTCCCTCATGTTCCTTCTCTCCCTCATGTTCCTTCTCTCCCTCATGTTCCTTCTCTCCCTCATGTTCCTTCTCTCCCTCATGTTCCTTCTCTCCCTCATGTTCCTTCTCTCCCTCATGTTCCTTCTCTCCCTCATGTTCCTTCTCTCCCTCATGTTCCTTCTCTCCCTCATGTTCCTTCTCTCCCTCATGTTTCTTCTCTCCCTCATGTTCCTTCTCTCCCTCATGTTCCTTCTCTCCCTCATGTTCCGTCTCTCATTCTCTCCTCCTCACCAATCCTGCACATATCTCGCCCCCCAACAGCTGCAGCGCCTAGGTGTCACGCACCGATTGGACGAGGTGTTCAACGCGGCCCCAGTGGTGCGCAGTGTGCTCAACCAGCAGTCGCAGCTCTTCCGCTCCGTGAGTGCTGCCTGCTCACAGCATGTGTGTGAGTGCTGCATGCTGCCATGCATGTGTGTCTGCGTATGTGCCCAGGTGCGGGTATCGATCTGAGAGTGCCCATGCATGAGTGCTCATTGTGCGCTGTCAATTCATGTCTCCCACCCACCCTACCCCTTGTCCACTGTCCCCTGTGTTTGAACTTGAGCTTAGAATCCATACATTAGTAATGAGCTCAGAGCTCTTTAAGTACATCGGAAATGGACAGGTAAGGATGGGGAGAGAATGAGGGGCAATCCTAAGGGATTGGGGGTAATCCCAAGGCAATCTCCAATTGGTGGGTTGGAGATTGCTTGGAGATCACATTTGGGTTTGGTTGGGATGTGGGTGTACATCCAACCAAACACAAAGTGTACACTACACTAGGATATAAAAGTGCAAGTACAAAAGGTGAGATGGAGGGCTAACACTAACACCCCCCCATAGACGTCAATCGAACTCAAGGTGGAGAAGGTGGGGCACATAGCCCCATGGTGCCAAGAAGACGATGGTGAGGAACCTTCCCAAGGGGCTTGGTGAACAGATCAGCCAGGTTGCAGTCAGATGCAACGTACTCCACGTTCAACTGTTCACGCTGGACAAGGTCACGAATGAAGAAGTGGCGAAGTTCGATGTGTTTGGTGCGAGTGTGGTACACAGGATGCTGGGAAATGTGGATGGTACTCTTGTTGTCACACCAGAGGGTGGGGGTGGGCTGAGGGTAGCCAAGCTCCTGGAGGAGGAAGGTGAGCCAACGGGCCTCTTGAGCCGCCATGGTGCCAGCGTAAAGCTCTGCCTCACAAGACGAGAGGGAGACTGCAGATGACCTGGTGGAGCGCCAGCTAACAACTCCACTGCCAAGGGTGAAACAGTAGCCCTGGGAGGAGCGGCGGTCAGTCTGGTCATCAGCCCAAGAGGAGTCAGTGTAGCCTTCCAGGCGAGGAGGAGAAAGACCACCAAGTGTGCGGACATGAGACTTGGTGCCCTTCAGGTAGCGCAGTACCCGCTTAGCCGCACTCCAGTGGAGTTCGGTGAAGCGTCCAGGAGCCACATAGCGAGAGAGGACACTGACAGGGTATGCCAGGTCAGGCCGGGTGCACATCATGGCGTACATGAGGGACCCAACAAGCTCTGGGTAAGGCTCGGAGCAGGCCTCCGGTGTGGGAACAGCTGGAGCTGTGAGGAGGTGCTGCAGTGGTAGCGGGGTGGCCATGGGTGTGCACAGCTCCATATCGAACCGCTTGAGTACATTGTTGATGTAGAACTCCTGGGAGAGTGAGATGGTGCGAGCCTGACGATCACGAGTGATCTCCATCCCCAGGTAGTGCTTGAGGTCAACGAGGTCTTTCATCAGGAGGGCCTCGCTCAGGGCCGCCTGGAGAGTGGTCATCTAGGCCGAGTCCTTGGCAACGAGGATGAAGTCATCGACGTAGACAAGGATGTAAAATGGCTCAGAGTGACGGCGAATGAAGAGAGTCGGGTCAGCAGATGATGGGTGAAAGTCCAATGAGAGAAGGACTTCTTTCACTTTGTTGTGCCATTCACGAGAGGCTTGTTTGAGGCCATAAACAGGGCGATTCAGCTTCCAGACAGTGTTGGGAGGGAACTCTCCTGGAAAGCCTTCAGGTCGGTCCATAAACACAGTCTCTTTGAGGTGTCCTTGCAGGAATGCCGAAGAGGCGTCCATGGATTTTATCTCAAAGTCATCTCGTGCGGCTACATCCAAGAGCGTGCGAACTGTGGGTGGTTTGGATGTGGGAGAGAAGGTTTTGAAGAAGTCAAAGTACTGTTGTTGAGTGAATCTCTTGGCCACATAGCGCGCTTTGAACACTGGGGCCTCGTCCGGAAGCTGCTTTACTCGAAACAGCCACTTGCCCCCAACGATGTTAACTCCTGGAGGTGGAGTTTCGTCGTCGAAGGAGTGGTTGCGAGTGAAGGCTTCACACTCAGCTTCCATGGCAGCGCGCCACTCGGCAGCATGGGGACCCGAGAGAGCCTCTTGGACGGTGAGAGGGATAGGGATGGTCGGGTTCTCCGAGAAGTTGAGCGAGGGGGATTCAGTGATATCGGGGAAGATGTGCGAGAGCTGAGGAATGACAGCGTGGAGATCACACAGCTCCTCATGCCTGTCTTCCAGAAGGGTAGAGGGCACATCCCCCCCAGCAGGAGGAGTCGGACTGATCACTGAGCATCGAATGGCAAGTGCCAGTGGAGGAGCAGCCCCATGCGACCGAGTGCCATGAGCCACCGGAGAAGAGGGTGGAGCAGGCGTTCCTGGAGGGGACGGTTTAAGAGGCTTGGGGGGAGGGAGCGGCCGTCGCTGGTACGTGATCAGTTTGCTCGGTTGTGGGAGAGCAGGTTCCTCAGTGGAGGAGGGAACTGGGGGAGGAAGTGGGGCTGGAGGGTTCGACCGCCGATGGTATGTGATTGGTGCGCTTGGTAGTGAGGGCGCAGTTGGCAGAGTGGTAGAAGGGGGGGAAGGAGGACCAGCTGCCGAGGACACCGGAGAGGTCGGGTCAGAGACCTCAGACGGAGATGGTGCGATGGCAGGAGAGGTAGGAGGTGAGGGAGCTGGTGCAGGCGGAAGTTCAGGAGGTGCTTCAAAGTCAGCCCACACAAGGGAGGGTGGTTCGGAGGGGGGGTCCCCCCCCGGGGTGGAGTAGAAGGGGCGAGTCTCATCAAAGACGACATCGCGGCTCCGGACTAGTTGTTGAGTGGAGGGGTTGAGGAAAAGGTAGTCGGGGGAGTCAGCGTTATGCCCAAGGTAGATGCACGTTTGAGTTTTGGGACCAAGTTTGCCACCTTGCCGTCGCCGAACCTGGGGGTTGAGGAGTACATAGGCGGTGCACCCCCAAACGCGAAGGGGGCGAGCAGTGGGTGTTTTCCCGAGCCAGAGCGTGGTGGGAGTGGTGTCGGGGAGATGCGGGTGGGGATACAGATTGTAGAGGAGGGCGGCATGGTAGAGGACGTACCCCCAGAGCGAGAGCGGTGCGTGGGAGTGGCTGAGGAGGCAGCGAGTGATTTGCACCAAGGTGTGATTACGGCTCTCTGCTATGCCGTTCTGCTGCGGGCTGTCAGGAAGGGTGAAGTTTTGCAGAATGTCGAGAGAGGAGCAGAAGGCTTCAAGTTTGGTGTTGCAAAATTCACCACCACCATCCGAATGGAGGCGCTTGACCTTGATGCCAAAGGTGGTATGTGCCTGGTTAACCCATGCCATGATGGCCTCTGGAGCTTCAGCCTTAGTGTGGAGGAGGTGCACAGAGACATAGCGAGTGTGGTCATCAACTATCAGAAGGAAATAGCGATGGCCACCTCGTGCGGCAACCGGGGCAGGGCCCCAGACGTCCATGTGCACTAGATCCAATGGGGCTGCTGTTACTGAGGGTGAGGCAGGGTGGGGCTGCTGGCGTAGCTTGCTCTTGGTACAGTCAAGGCACGTGGGAGCGGGCGAGTCGGGTGGTGGAGGAAGTGAGGCTGGCAGGCCGAGAAGAAGCTTCTTGGAGGCCATGTCAGCAAGCGTGCGGAAGTTTGGGTGCCCGAGCCGATGGTGGTAGGGGACGGTCGGGTTAGAGAAACTACGACATGAGCATGGTGTGATGGCAGCCTGTGCTTGGGTGGTCGACACCTGTGGGATAGGTACACGCAGCGTGTAGAGGCCGCTGCTGTTGAGGGTGAAGCGAGCTAAGACCTTGTTGGTGAGTGGGTCAATGATGTCAGAATAGTCCTCGTATTCCGAGATTATGGTGCGGAGCCCAGCAGCCTGAAGTTCCTTTTGGGCCAATAGATTGTGGCGTAGTGAGGGCACGCACATGCCAGTGACAGTGCCGGATGGAAATGCGGGGCATGGGACAGTGGACGAACCCTTGGCAAAAGTGGTGAAGCTTGAGTCAGCTCCCAAGAGAGGGATGGGAGTAGGGTAGGGTTTGAAGGAGAGTGTCTCTTTGGGCACTGTGTGAGTGGCACCACTGTCGAGTGTGAATTCTATGTATTGTGGTTCTTGTGATGAGCCGATGTACTAGGAGCTTGCTTCATTAATCATGGCAGTGCCAGGGAACAGCAAGTTGATACGCACATCAGCAGGAGCACTATCACTAGCACTAGCCGGAGCAAGGTCCTGGACATCAACTAGGTTAGCCTTACGAGGGCGCATTCAGTTCGGCGGCTTCTTGTCAACTCCGTGGATGGCATACCATTCGTCGTCTTTCTTCTTGAAGCACGTGGCGAGGGGGTGGTTGGTGCCACCACACACGTGTGCCTTGCGGTTGCCATACTTGACGACGTAGGTGCACGGGGGGAAGCGGTTGCGCTGGAAGGGTGCCGAGGCGACACTTGCTTGAGGCACGGGAGCACGGAGGGCGTAAGCCTTGGCTTGAGCCGTGGAGTCTTTCTCGGCAGAGAGGAGGGCGGAGGAGACCTTAGCAAAGGTGAGGTCTTCCGCCGAGGATGTGAGGAGCATCTTCCTCGTTACTTCGTATGCCGAGGTGAGGCCAACAAGAAAGGCGGCTGCAGGAGCTTGTTCGGGGAAGACTATCCCCAGCTCCTTGAGTTCGCCGTGAATGGTCTGCACCTTAGCAATGTAGTCGGCCATTCCCGAGCAATCCTCAAGGTGGACTTGGAACATGCTGGTGATGAGAATGACAGCTCCGACTGCCGTCTTGTTCATGAATCGATCCTGGAGATACTTCCAGATGGCGCTGGAGGTGGGATAGTTGTGGAACGTGGTGATTAGATCGGGGGGAAGTGGATCCGATGAAGACGCTGATGATGGCAGCATCGGCCTTCTCCCTTTTACGGTATTTGTCAACAGCATCCTCGTACGCCGTTATGTCAGCATCACTTGCAGAATCAGTCGGCTCAATGGGGGGAAGGGGCTGTTTCCCCTTGCCACGGTTGAGGAGGACGTCCTTGAGGTCCAATCCCTGCACGTCACGGCTCAGGAGGTGCTTGTCAACCCCGTAGCTCCATGCCTTGAAATTGGAGCTAGACCCGTCGGCTTCAAGGCGGAGTGGGGTGATGGGGTTGGCGAAGGTGGACGAGGTGAAGGCCATGATGAAGACCCCCTTTGTGTCTCGCGCGAAGCGCCGCTCTTAAGTCACCGATAGGAACTTCAGGTTTAGGGTTTTCGAAGGAGAATTTTAAAGTAGGGTTTATGAAAGAGAATTTTGAGGTGGGGTTTATGAGGGAGAATTGTAGGGACGCAACTAGCGAAAATCGTCAATGCCGTCCGCTTCGGAATGTCGCGTAATAGGTTTTGAGAGGTCGGCGAAAATAGGTTAAAATCGCCGATTTCAGTACTAACAACTAACCCGAGTCCCCGCCCCGGCCTTGTCCCTCAGCTTCACGGCTTCGCTGCTGCACGGCTGCTCGGCTGCACCTGTTCAGCTGCGGGACGATGGGAGTGCCGATGCGGGGCGACGGGCGGCAGCCCGAAGGTGACGCTGCGGGGCGACGGGCGGCGGCCCGAAGATGACGCTGCGGGGCGACGGGCGGCGGCCCGACGAGAAGCTGCAGGGCGACGGGCGACGGGCCGACGAGAAGCTGCAGGGCGACGGGCGACGGCCCGACGAGAAGCTGCAGGGCGACGGGCGACGGCCCGACGAGAAGCTGCAGAGCGACGGGCGACGACCCGACGAGAAGAATTGGCGGGAACGATTTTTAGGGTTAAAACGCGATTAGTGAAAGCGCCTATGATGCGCTTACCAGAGAAGTCGCGGAAGTCGTCGAGAGTGTAGGGAGAGTGGCGCGGGAAAGTTTCCGGCCACAAATGTCGCGAATCGCCGGCGACGGAATTGATGGCGGCTACGCCGAAGAATGCGGGACAAGAGTCCGCAGAGATAGGGGGATCACGATACGCGTGTGCGTTTGAAGCCCTCTGATACCATGTTTGAACTTGAGCTTAGAATCCATACATTAGTAATGAGCTCAGAGCTCTTTAAGTACATAAAAAATGACAGGTAAGGATGGGGAGAGAATCAGGGGCAATCCTAGGGGATTGGGGGTAATCCCAAGGCAATCTCCAATTGGTGGGTTGGAGATTGCTTGGAGATCACATTTGGGTTTGGTTGGGATGTGGGTGTACATCCAACCAAACACAAAGTGTACACTACACTAGGATATAAAAGTGCAAGTACAAAAGGTGAGATGGAGGGCTAACACTAACACCCTGTCCGTCCTTCACCATCGTCCACCCCGTGCTGCAGTTCGTCGGGTCACAGGAAGCAGAACGGAACGCGGAGGCGATACAGGGGCGGGGAGTGGAGGATCCGTGGACGCCTGAGAGCCACTACCGCTGGCTGCGGTCCCGCTACAACGGCTACCTCTCTGCCTCCGTGCGCTCCCTTTACGGCGTCGGCCCCTCCCGTTTCTTCTCCCAAGGTGCGCCCCTCCCGCACTTCCACCAAGGTACCTTCCAAATGGTTTCACGCTGCTCTTCACCTGAACTCACATGCATCTTTCAGGTGCCTCAACAAAACGTGTCTTAACATTGGTCACTGGATGTGGCCTCTGTATGTCTGTATCCCCGTGTCATTCTCTCTGTGTGTCACTGGGTGTGTGTGGAGGGCGCCAGACTCGGGGTTGCAGGAGGAGGAGCAGCTGCAGGCAGAGAGGGAGCGCATTGATGCGAGGGGCAGGGAGGTGCAGGAGAGGGTGCGTGCCGTGCGGCTGGAGCAGCGCGCTCTTGAGGCCGAGGCCACACAGTGCGAGAGACAGCGGGTGAGGTGGGGTGAGGTGGGGATGGGGGTGGGATGGGGGTGGGGTTGAGGTGGAATTGAGGAGGGGTTGGGGTGGGGGTGAGCTGAGTCCGTGTGTGTGTGTGCAGAGGGCGAGAGGGAGTTCGAGTTTGAGGGATGAAGGGGGTGGGCATGGAGCGGGCATGTTTGTTTGCTGTTGGTACGAAGATATGCCTTCGTTGTAGCTCGTGTTTCCATGCCGTGTGCGCGACATGCATGCCTGCATGCGTGGCTTGGCCTGTCCCTAACTTTTTAGAGCATCTCGCTCTCCTCTGCACCACATCAAATCCTACAGGATGAGATTGTGAACGAGTACCACAGGCAGATGAAGCAACGCACCGACCTGCAGAGAGACATTCGTGAGTCTCTCTCACCCTCTCGTGTGCTAATTTGCCTTCAGCACTCCCGTCCCTCCCAATACCCCTCCCCCTCCCCCTCCCCTTCCCCCTCCCCCTATCCCTCGCCCTCCCCCTCCCCCTCCCCCTCACCCTCCGTAGGGATGAGCAAGGGGCGAACACGAACGTGTTCGCGTTCGCCCATGCACGAACACCCCTGTTCGGCGAACCGAACACTGTTCGGTTCGGCGAACACCTTAAGCAAAAACAGGTGTTCGCCGTTCGCCTATGAAGGCGTGTTCGGGCGAACCTCGAACACGTTCGTGTTCGTCTAGGGGCAAATTGCAGCAGCGGCCCGAACACGAACGTGTTCGGGCGAACCTCGAACACTGTTCGGCGAACACTTTAAGCCAAAAAAAAAAACCTGTTCGGCTCGCCTCGAACACGTTCGAGGCGAACCGAACAGGTGTTCGTTTTTTTGCTCATCCCTAACCCTCCGTCTATCCCTCCCAACTGCTCTTCCGCCCGCTCCTTCTTCTCTGTCTTCCCACTCTACCTTTCGGTTGGGAGAGCACGCACTTCCACCTCGCTTCCTAAAATATTTTCAATCCTTCTCCCATTTCGCATTTCCTTCCCCCTCCCCTGTTCTCTTCAAGGCAGAGCGGAAGTGTGACCTGGTGGCGTCGTTGGGGAGGAGCGAGGATATGGAGGAGGTGGAGAGGAGGGCGAGGGCGGACATTGCTCTCAGCATGGAACGGGCAATGCCAAGAAGACACATGTGAGTGCCTGCCAACCACCGCAACACTTTTGTTGTAGGGTGCGCGAAGAGGGCGAGGGTAGGCGACTTTTGAGAGCCACTGGGTTTAGGAAGTGGAGGCGAGGGCATGGGGTGGGCGTTGATTAACAGCATGGAGAGAGGCAGCTGCAGAATAACAGGAAGACACGTGTGAGTGCCACTGCACCTGCACGCCTCCATGCAGACTGCTCTCTTCTTTCCCGTCGCTTCAGCCCTTTCCCTCACACCCATGTTCTTTGCAAGAATCACCGAAAGGCACTGAAGAAACAACTGAGCCTCGCTTAAATATGGAGCTTTTGTGCGCTTCCATCCCAACCTAATTCTCTCCCCCATTCCTCCCCAAATATTCCTTCCCTTACCCCGGCCATTCCCCCCCCATCCCATGTGCACCTCCCCCAGAAGCACCTGCTGGACCTATGGCAGGAGAAGCGTCGCCTCTCTTCCTTGAAACCTTCTGTGGATGAGCTCTCCTTCCTGGTAACTTCCCACGACCTTGCCTTATGACATGTGTCACATGCACGCACCATGTCATGTGCACCACATGTCATTGGCCACGAGCCACATACCATAGCCATGTCTCACATGTCATGCATGCACCATGACAGGTGTCCGAGTGAGTGCAATGGCGGGTTAAGGACCGTGACGAGCAGTCAAGCACCAAGGCACCATGCGTCACGCACCCAACCAGCTCTCACATACAGCGAACACCTCAACACATGCACCACATGCCATGCGTCATGCACCGTATCACATGCCAGATGCACCGTATCACATCTCTCCCACTCTAGGTGCGCGAGCAAGAGGGCGAGGTCCAGGACCTGGACGAGCAGCTGAGGGAGCTGCAGCAGGAGGTGATGCGCGGTATGTGGGGGTGGGGAGGAGTGGGGTTGAGTGGAGTTGAGCGGTGGGAAGGGAGGATGATAAGTGAGTGAGGATGTCAGGTAGGAACGGATAGGGGTCGAGTGGGGGTTCTTGTGTGCATGGAATTTGGAAGAATGAAACTGTCAGGAAGTACTTTCTCCCAACTTTCCTGCACTTCCCGCCTCGCAATCCAAGTCACCTCAAACCATTTTGCCCCTTGGCCAACCCTCCCCTACAGTCGTGAACCACAAGAAGATCGCCTGTGGGCAGGGGGATGAACTTTAGCACCCACCTGACCCGCACCTCTCTCCCTCATTCTTACCCTTTTTCTCCTTACCCACTCCCTCTTTCTCCCACTACCTGCCAGAGGAGGGTCGCAGACAGCAAGACAGCAGCAGGCGCTTTGGCACCCACCTGACTCGCAACCCTCTCCCACACATTCCTATCCCTTTCCCTTTCCTTTCCCCCCTCCCCCTCTCTGCCTGCCAGAGGACCGGGTGCAGGCAACGAAGCAGGAAGAGGTGTTCTAATCTTTATATACAACATGCATATGCTAGAATTAGTGTAGGGTTGTTGGGTGTACCTCCAACCACAATTTGTGGTTGAAGCTTGGTTGAGTTCCCAACAATAATTGGACCTCCAATAATGTTGGTTTAAACCCACCCAACAATTATTGGAGCTCCAATAATGTTGGTCCAACCAAACCAACAATTATTGGGACCTCCTTGTTGGCAAAAGCTCATCTATCTATCGTCTCTCTACCTATGTATACCTTTGCTCATTCGAGCCTAACTTAATACAATTCATTTCTTCTTTCTCACAGGGAGCACTTGAAGCCCTCCTGATTTTCCAAGTCCCACCCTTCTCCCTCATTCCTCCTGCTTTTCACCTACACCTCCTCCTCCTCCTCCTCCTCCTCCTCCTCCTCCTCCTCCTCCTCCTCCTCCTCCTCCTCCTCCTCCTCCTCCTCCTCCTCCTCCTCCTCCTCCTTCACCTACAGAGGAGGATCGGGTGGCGGTAGCGAAGCAGGAGGCAGCAGCAGCACTGGAGGCAGCGAGAGGGGTGGACCAGGAGGGACCAGGAGGGACCAGGAGGCCAAGAGGCTATTTGAAACGGTGAGGATGGGTGACAAGGTGTGGTTGAGACGAGATTTTTTGAAACGATGAAAATGGTGAGGTGCCAGAGGGGCTTAACACAAGACGAGGCCGCAACAAGGTTTTTCTAATCGCTTGGAAGAGACAAGAAAGTTTTCCTGAAGCGGTGATGCTGATACTAGAATGTGGTTATTTCCAGTCACCTCCTTTCCGTTTCTTCCCATCTCCCATCCCTATGGAAACCTCTATTAGCCCTTCTTCTCCTCTCCCCATGTTCCCAATCCTCTCCCCATGTTCCCAATCCTCTCCCCATGTTCCCAATCCTCTCCCCATGTTCCCAATCCTCTCCCCATGTTCCCAATCCTCTCCCCATGTTCCCAATCCTCTCCCCATGTTCCCAATCCTCTCCCCATGTTCCCAATCCTCTCCCCATGTTCCCAATCCTCTCCCCATGTTCCCAATCCTCTCCCCATGTTCCCAATCCTCTCCCCATGTTCCCAATCCTCTCCCCATGTTCCCAATCCTCTCCCCATGTTCCCAATCCTCTCCCCATGTTCCCAATCCTCTCCCCATGTTCCCAATCCTCTCCCCATGTTCCCAATCCTCTCCCCATGTTCCCAATCCTCTCCCCATGTTCCCAATCCTCTCCCCATGTTCCCAATCCTCTCCCCATGTTCCCAATCCTCTCCCCATGTTCCCAATCCTCTCCCCATGTTCCCAATCCTCTCCCCATGTTCCCAATCCTCTCCCCATGTTCCCAATCCTCTCCCCATGTTCCCAATCCTCTCCCCATGTTCCCAATCCTCTCCCCATGTTCCCAATCCTCTCCCCATGTTCCCAATCCCTCAGTGCATGTCAAGGCGGAGACAGCAAGGCGCAGCATTCACAGGCATGTTCTCCCATCTCACTTGCACGTGCCTCACTCGCTCTTCTTCCTGCCCAACTCCCACCCCCAACCCTCACTCGCCCATTTAAATCTTCGGCATGCAGAAGAAAGTGTACACCATGTAAAGCAGAAGAAGTAAAAAAATAACAATACAAACAATTCCTTGTCCATTTACCCTGTACCCCCACCCCACCCCACCCACCCTCGTGTACGTCCCACCATGTGTGTGCCCCCATGCAGATCCGCAGCATGCAGGGCAAGGTGGAGAGTGAAAGGCAGCAGCTTCAGGAGCTCAGGGCGGAGGTGGAGCGCGTGCAGGTGAGAATAGGGGGGGGAGAGGGGAGGGGAGAGGGGAGGGGGGAGGGGAGGGGGGAAGAGATTAAACATTACAAGGGTTTGTCCGTGTGGTTATCTGATGGTAGTAACAACTTAATTAGTTTCATGTGGATGGGCTGAACGTGCCTTGGCCTCTGCCATCCCATCCCCTCCCCATTTGTCACGTGGCACCATCCCACCCCCATCTGCCACGTGGCACCATCCCACCCCCATCTGCCACGTGGCACCATCCCACCCCCATCTGCCACGTGGCACCATCCCATCCCCAGAGTCTCTGGCTGCCGCGGCTGCGCTCGCTGATCGTTCGCATCAGCAAGGCCTTTTCCAGAAACTTCGAGGAAATGGCCGTTGCGGGGGAGGTGGCTTTAGGTGAGTGAGAGAAGAGCCAAGGGGAGAGAGGTTGGTGGGGGAGGGAACACTGGGTAGTGGGGAAGGGAGCATGAGAAATTGTGAGTGGGTAGAGAGAATAAATGAATCGAGGTTGGCAAGGAGTGAGGGAGTGAAGTACGAGAAGGTGTGGTGGAGGAGATAGTGATGCTGAGCCCAAGGTATGGCATTACATAGAGAAATGCCTTTGATTGGACTCAGAGGTATTCGTGCCAGATTCGTGGACAGCAGTTCTCCATGTAATGCGTGCGAGGTGAGGTGAGGCTTGGGAGGGCTGAGGTCAGATGCGTGGACAGCTGAGGTGGGGAAAAAGAGGAGGGAAGGATGATCGGGAAGGGGGAGCGAGGGAAATGCTAGCTCAAAAGTACCAGAACCAATAAGTCAGCAAATTGCCACATGTGGCCGCACCTCTCTGCCCCCATCGTTGCACATCCCCCCTCCTTGTCTGCTGCATTCAGATGAAAGGGGCACTGACTTCCGTTCATACGGCATTAGGATCCGAGTCAAGTTCAGGTGATTTAGCTTCAGGTGATTCAGGTGATTCAGGTGATTCAGCTTCAGGTGGATGACAATATACCATTGCACTTGCAATTATGGTTCAATACAGGTTTTCTTGCATTTCTTAGAATATTCTGCCAACGCCCAGTCAGCTTGTGTTTCATCCTGTCCCACGCCTATCCCCTTGTGTTGCGTTCCTTTCCCTCACATGTGCATTTCAATGTAGATGCACACGTATTAAAAGAACAGCACACTTGCACTTACACATTTCGTCCAGTCCTTCTCACAAGTCTCTCCACTTTGCCACGTAACTGTTCTCATTGTTTCCCTCCCCCCCCCCTGCCCTCCTGCCCCGCCTCCTGCCCCTGTCCCACCATGCCCTGTGCCCGTCGTGTGCTCCATGCATGTGTCCGAGAGGGTGCAGAGCTGGAGGACCTCAATGTCCACCGCCAATCCGGAGGGGTGCGTTGCTCCAAAGGGCATTTACTGTGCCATCCATCTGCTGCTTGCGTCGACTGGTGTGATGCCTTTGTCAAAATATATTCCTCTTTGGATCCTGCATATGCTCTAAGGCTGGGGTTGAGATTCTCAAACTTAGTTTTGGTGCACAACTAGGCTCACCTAGTTATTGGTTTGGATTTCAATATTGTCCCAATCTTTTGGCCTCCAATGTTGGGTTGGCAGGTTATTGACCCCCAAGAATTTTGGTTTACCACTGATCAAGACCATTGAATCCCCAAGAATCTTGACTTATCGTTGGCCAAGACGACTGGAACCCCAGTAATATTGGTCAATGGTAAAACCAATATTTATTGGGGGTCCATGGTCTTGTTTAACAGTAAACCAAGAGTATTGGGGTTCTAATTATCTTGATCAACAAAAAACCAGGATTTTCCAGGGTTTAGTTGTTTCAAGATTATTGGAGTTCCAAAGATATTGGTCAACGGTAAATCAAGATTATTGATAGTCTTAATCAACGGTAAACCAGGATTATTGGGGGTCCAATGGTCTTGGTTTACCGTTGACCAAGACTTTTGGACCACTAATGATCTTGGTTTACCGTTGACCAAGACAATTGGACCCTCAATGATCAACAAAAAACCAAGATTTTTGGGGGTTCAGTTGTTTCAGGATTATTGGAGCTCCAAAAAGATTGGTCAACGGTAAATCAAGATTATTGAGGTTCCAATAGCCTTGGTCAACGGTAAACCAAGATATTGGGGGTCCAATGGTCTTGGTTTACCGCTGACCAAGACTTTTGGACCACCAATGATCTTGGTTTACCGTTGACTTAAAACAATTGGAAGTAATTCTTCACATTTCTCGCAGCCTTTCTGTTGTTGCTTGTGTTGCTGCTTTCTTTCATTGCCCACTTCCTTCCCGGCCGTCCACCATTTTCTACATGCTCTCTCTATACAATTATGTGCATAGCTCACAAATTACACGCCACAGGCCATGAAATCACGCTCCGTATCTTCATTCCTCCGCTCCCTCCCATCCCCATCCCCATCCCCATCCCCATCCCTCTTCCCATGTCAGAAGCGATCCGTGCCCATAAGCCTGATGCGGTGACGCTGCAGGACCTAACGCGCTGCCAGTTCCGAGGCATAATACGCAATCACAAGCAGCCTCCCCCCCCTTCACTTTCCTTTACCCCTTCCATGCCCTTCGTTTCCCTTCCCCCACGCCAGGAGCGCTCTGTGTCAACCATCCTGTACCTGGTGTCGCTGCAGGACTTAACGCGCTGTCCGTTCCGAGTGGTGGATGAGATCAACCAGGGCATGGACCCCACCAACGAGCGCAACATGTTCCAACAGTTCGTGCGCGCCGCTACCCATGACCACACCCCACAGTGAGTGGCACTCTCGACCATACCTGGCAGTGAGTTTTCAACCAGGTCACATAGTTTGGTGTGTTTGGTGCAGGTGTGGAGGACGTGAACCCTAAACCCTAAGTCGACAGTCAATGTAACATGTGCTCCTTTCGGCCTCCCCCTTGCACCCTTCCTCCCCCTGCAGGTGCTTCCTGGTGACGCCAAAGCTGCTGCCAGATTTGAACTATGGCGAGTCATGCACGGTGCACTGTGTCATGAATGGCCCGCATGCTGTGCCCCTCGCCTCCACTGCTGGTGAGTGCTGTGAAGATAGGTAAGCTGGCTGCCTTGAGCTGGCTTTGTTGATTTGAGCTGGCGTGGACTATGATGAGGTCGTGCACGGTGCAGTGTGGTGAGGTCGTGTACAGTTCAGTGTGGTATCCGGTGAGGTCGTGCACGGTGCACTGCGTTATGAAAAGCGTCCATGCTGTGCCTCTCGCAGCTACTTCTGAACAGTCTTGCGCGCAAAGGTGGCTTGACTTGATATGACTTGAGCTGCCATGGGGTTGACTCGAGTTGACTTGGAGTCACTGGAGCTGACTTTCTTTTTGCTTGACCTGGGTTCACCTGAGCTCACTCGACTTGAAGTTAGTTGAGTTGAGCTCACTTAGCTGAGTCTAATTTAGCTGAATGGAATAAGGTGAGGCATGAATTGTGCGTTGTGTTTTGCCTTGGAATGATGGTAAGTTCACCTGTGCTGACTAGAATTGACCTGAAGGCCATGCACAGACGTGTTCCCTTTGGTATGTGGCTCACCTGCTTCCTTTCAGGGTTCAAGGAAGGTAAATCATTGTGGGACTCGCTCCAACAGAGCGCTGCAGATGCTTAGGGTGTTTCTGATTCTCTTCTCCCACCAACCAAGTCTCAGACTTGTGTTGCACCGCACTGAACCGCGTGAGTGTGCCACGTATATATTGTAAATAGGGGCAATTTGACACCTGTCACCAACAGGGGGAAAGGCATGTAAAGGCCAAGAGTATTGCCATGTGTATATTGTAAATAGCAAAGAGCATCGTTAAGCAAGGACAGCCATCTTAAGTTAGGCTAGGAACAAGTGTCGAGAGAATGATGTGAGTCAGTAGGAACAATGGGATACAAGTCGACCTAGAGAATGTTGTACCCTTTAGAGGGCAACTCACTGTAGCCTAGATAACTAACATCTATAACATATAAACATCTGACACACCCCCATACGCTAAGTGAGGGGCATCAGATCCACCAAGGGAAACAAAAGGTCACAAGACCAGTCAAGAGAAGGAACACAGCAAGCTCAGGGTGGATCACGAAGTCACCACACAATCTAAGCACAAGCAAAGGGCCACAAGGCCAGTTCAAGAGTTCACAATATGTATAGATACAGGAACAAACAGAGCAAGCAACAAGAAGCAAGTCTACAGTAACCGAACACCAGCGTCAACAAGCCCCAACTGCACACAGAACCTGTGGTGGTCACCAGGCGCCAAGGCCTTGGTGAAGACGTCGGCAGTGTTGGCCTCTGAGGCCACAAAGTCCAAGCGTGCCTGGCCGCGTCGCTGCAACTCTCGCAGGAGAAAGTACCTCACGTCAATATGCTTCACCCTGCTCTCCAGTCGAGGCTCTCGACACAGGAGGATCATTGCCTTGTTGTCAGCGTACAAGGTCGGTGCAGAGCGAGGCCGCTCACCAAGGTCGGCGAGCAAGAAGGTCAACCAGCGAAGCTCCTGTGCCGCCATGGCACTAGCGTAGATCTCTGCCTCTGCGCTGGAAGTAGCCACAGACGACGACCATGTAGACCTCCACGACACAGCACCAGCTCCCAGACTGAAGCAGTAACCCTGAGTCGAGCGCTGAGTCTCCACGTCGTCAGCGTAGGAAGAGTCGCACTGACCAGTCAACGCCACTGGCTGAGTCCCTCCAAGCACAAGCCCCATGCCTGATGTAGTCGCCAGGTACTTCGCCACCCTCACAGCAGTTGTCCAGTGGACAGGACGGTGTCTCCCAGTCGCAACAAAGCGAGAAAGTATGCTGAGGGGAAAGGCGAGGTCCGGCCGAGTACAAGTCATCAGGTATATGAGGCAGCCTACCAACTCTGCGTAGGGACCACTGGACTCAAAGGGCTCGTCCGGAAAGGGGCCAGTGAGTCTGTGGTCAACAGCAAGAGGTGTGGGCTGTGTGGTGGAGAACTGGAAGTCAAAACGCCGAAGGACCTGCTGCACCATGTGTGACTGAGTCAGTGTGATGGTGCGAGCGGCTTTGTCCCTGGTGATCTGCAGGCCAAGGTAGCGCTGCAGTTCACCTAGGTCAGTGCACTTGTGTCTCTTCTGCAGTTCAGACTTCACCTGAGCCAGCGCTGCCCTGTCTGCTGTGGCAAAGATCAAGTCGTCGACGTACACTAGTATAAAGAAAGGAGTGGAACCAGTGCGAACAAACAGCGACGAGTCGGCAGAGGAAGGACAAAACCCAAGGTCACGAAGCGTGGAGCGGAGAGTGTCGTGCCACTCACGGGGCGACTGGCGGAGACCGTAGACTGGCCGTCTCAGGCTCCACTGGGTCCCAGGTGGGAAGGTGTCAGTGAAGCCAGGAGGGCGGCGCAGCCAGATCTCCTCGTGTAGCCGGCCCTGGAGAAACGCAGTAGAGAAGTCAAGGGAGTGTAGCTCGTAGTCTCGCTGTGCTGCTACGTGCAGTAACACCCGAAGAGTAGTCATCTTCGGGGTCGGGGCGAAGGTCTGGAAGAAGTCAACTCCCTCACGCTGACTGAAACCCCTAGCCACGTAGCGCGCCTTGAACACAGGCGGTCAACTAGGCGGCCGCTTCACCTTGAAGAGCCACATGCCATCGACTACGTTCGCCTTGGGAGGGGGAACTGCGTCGACGTAGGTGCCTGTGGATATCCAAGACGCTAACTCCGACGCCATAGCCGCTTTCCACTGTGAGGCCCACGCCCCTGACACTGCCTCGCGGTAAGTGCGAGGAGTCGGTATGTCAAGGGCGTCGGGGTCTCCCTCAGGGGATAGCAGCATGGCACAGACAGAGGGAGAAGCGGATGCCCAGTACTCCAGCTCAGACTCTCTGTCCTCTAGGACGTCACAGCCAAGGGCAAACCCACCCCCGACGGGCAGAGGACGGGAGGGAGGAGCTGGCACCACACGGGTGGTGTAGTCAAGGCGAGTGGCGGTAGCAAACTCAGCGACAGCGGCAGTGAGAGCCGAGACAGACGACGGAGGGAAACGAGAGTCGGTGACAAGAGTGGCGAGGACACGAGAGACAACAGGACGAACAGCACGGTAGTAGTCAGTGACAGGAGTAGGGGGGAAAGGGAGAGAGGACGGAGGCGGAGACGGGAGAACAGACTCAGGAGGAGGACGACGAAGAGACGAACAAAGGAGGGCAGTGCGGAGGTCGGTAACGGGAGACGAGTGACGAGCACGCGGAGGGGAGGGACGGACACGAGAGTGTGGGACACCAGGAGGAGGAGACCGCGGTGGAGGAGAAGACCAGAGCGCCGGACTGGCGTCAGGAGGAGGAAACGTGGGACCAAACGCTGGAGGGGACGGGGTGTGAACAGGAGGAGAGGAGGGAAGACCAAGGGCCCGAAGGCCACTCACGGGTGGGAACAACTGCCGCTCCAGAGGGAGCTGCTGTGGTCGCAGCTGCGGCGGCGGTGTCTCCTGCTGCTGCGGCCGCTGCGGCTGCTGCTGCTGCTGCTGCTGCTGCTGCTGCTGCTGCTGCTCCAGCAGGTCCAACCGCCGCAACTCCTGTCGCTCCCTCTCCAACAACACCTGCTCTTCACGCTCACGCCGACGGGCCGCCTGGAGACGCGTGTCGTGGCGGTGGGGAGGTGGAGTGGACTCCGCAGAACCAGTGTCTCCAGCTCCAGGCTCCTCAGAACCAGCACCTCCAACTCCAGCGCCTCCAGCACTAGCACCCCCAGCTCCAGCACCCCCAGTGCCAGCGCCTCCAGCACCGGCACCCCCAGAACTAGCACCTCCAGTGCCAGCACCTCCAACTCTAGCACCCCCAGAACTAGCACCTCTAGTGCCAGCACCTCCAACTCCAGCACCCCCAGAACTAGCACCTCCAGTGCCAGCACCTCCAGCTCCAGCACCCCCAGAGCTAGCGCCACCTGCGCCAGCACCTCCAGCTCCAGCACCCGTCGAACGAGCACCCCAGACCGAGCACCGCCAGCAGCTGCACCTCCAGCTCCAACACCAACCGAGTCCACAGGAACCTGTCGTGGAAGTGCTGAAGGCTGCTGAGGGGACTGTGAGGAGGACTGCGGGGAGGGAGACTGTTAGAAATAGTCAGTCAACACTTTGTACTATATTCTATATCGGTTAGGTTACTTTGTAGGTTGGGTGTAGATTTGTAATCCCAACCCTATCTGGTTGGGATTCCCTCGTAATCCTGCAAATCCGCCAACTCACCAATTGGAGATTTGCTAGGATTCCCATCCCATCCTTTCCCTAGCTTTGCTCAACCCAACCGTGTTTGTACTTAAGGCCTCGGGCCTTCCTTATCAATCAATCAGTTCAGTTGCAATTCTATCAGAGACGCTACCTGACGCGTGACTGAGGGTAGAGGGGTATCGTAGGACACACTAGACGAGGCAGGACCAAGGGGGGGCGGGGGTACCGGAGGAGCGGGAGCAGGAGGAGGAGAGGGTGCGAGGAAGAGGGGGGGAGGGGGTACCGGGAGACCTCGACAGTGGTACCGGGTGTAGTAGGACACGGACTCGTCAAACCGGACGTCACGGGAGTCTAGGAACTGGTGGAGGGGAGGGTGGTAGAAGGACCAATCGGCAGAGTCCACCGGGAAACCAAGGAAGACACAGGGGACGGCGCGTGCCGAGAGCTTGTCCGCGGAGGTGTCGCGAACAAGCGCAAGGCAGCCCCAGACACGAAAGACCGACCCAACACCAGGGGACCCGGTCCAAAGACTGGTCGGTGAAGCCTCGGGCCGCGAGACGCGCGGCTGGAGGTTCAGCTGGTGTGCGGTGTAGCGAACCGCGTAGGGCCACAGAAAATGGGGCGCACGGGCATGGATCATGGACGTGCGAGCAATGTCCATGACCAAGCCAATGCGGCGCTCAGCAACCCCATTCTGCTGTGGGGTCTCCGGAAGCGTCCAGGACTGTACGATGCCCTGTTCGCCGCAGAATCCGGCAAGAACGCCGGAGCGAAACTCGCCCCCACGGTCAGAGTGTAGACAACTGACACGACGACCACGAGTGCCCTCAGTGGCCAGAAGCCACCGGATCAGCGTAGCAGTCACCTCGGACTTCTTCGCGAGAGGGAACACTGTGGTGTACCTGGAGAAGTCGTCGACGACCACCAGAAAGTAACGCTCCCTCCCAGAACCCTGCGTCGGGGCAGGGCCCCAGACGTCCAAGTGGAGGGTCTCGAAGGGAGCAGTGGCCGGACGAAGGGAGGAGGAGTGGGGAGTGGCGCGTAAGCGACCGGCGACGCAAGGAGTACAAGGGGGAGCAGGGGAGGTGGGGAGCGACGGAAAGGTGCGTGGGAGACCGGTGACAAGCCCGTGAGTGGTCATCCCGCGGAGGCGGGGGATCGACGGGTGGCCAAGGCGGTGATGCCACAAGACGGTCCGGTGGGTGAGGGACCGACTGGAGCAGGACGCAGCGACTGGACTAGACAGCGTGACCTGACTATACACTGCAACTGGACAAGACACGACCACCTGGCTAGACACAGCAACCGGACGGGACACCTGGACTGGAGGGGACGCAACGACCTGAGCAGGGGACGCAACCGGGGAGCGCTCGGTGTGGAGAACGTAGAGACCGGAGCGGGGCTCCCTGGTGAACGTGGCCAGAACAGCACCTGTGGCAGCGTC